AAGTGATGTGGAAAGAAGCCATAATGCTCACATCGTGACGGCACTCAGCTATTATTTTCCTTCCTCCAAAACTCGCATCTGGACTGCATGCCTGGCACTGATGAGCTAAATGACAGCTCAGCACTTGAAGCTCAATGCAGTCAAGAAGCACGCTTCATCCTATAATTTAAAAGACTGTACAGTTCACTGAGCTCTCCATCTCAGTGGAGGATGTCATGCAATCCCGAACTACAAGAAATATCGGTGCAGTTATGACTGATCACCCTCAGATCAGATGTTAGCAGACACTGGTGGTCGTTATGGCACCCAGCCCTGTCTGTGCAATTGATCAAGAAGGCAGCAGCCAATGTCATATTCAACCTGTCCACACTCCACTGAGGCCTTCCCTCCATTGGCTCACTGAGTGCAGATGACCCTGAAGCCATTCTACCAGGACAAGAACGGAGAGGCACCTGTTCCCTTTAAAGAAATCTACAGTAGCTAGCTACACTATATATTGGATACATTTGTACGCACACAAATAAAATGGGGCAGAGTAAATATAGTGCACTACATAGAAAATAGGGAAGTAAAATATGTCTGTTCAAGGGAATTCATGGATTACCACAGTAATGCATGGTGGAATAAGTGTGTGACAAGCTCATTCTGTGTAACTATTTCTTATATTTGCAACAGAAATTGTAATTGTTGATTATGGTCAGCTTGTCTGCGGCCAGAGTTTCTGAGGACAAAGATTTGTTGGTGGATCTATCAGTAGAACGGTGTTAATGTAGTGTGTGGCTCCCAGATGTAAATGGGTGTAACCGAGTGTGAAAAAGGGCGTTGCTGAGAAAGAGCATATGCATGAGGACACATTACAGTCACCTTTCCCAGGATAGGTGGATCCTGTCAATATGTCTCAAAACTCAACTGGGTGGAACTGAGTATTTCAAAGAGACCAGGATAGCTGTAAATCTCATCTAATGAAGTAATTGCTGAACTTTTGGCATCAATCAGAAACCTTATCAGCCCCCGGCAGAAATATTCTGGTGAATTTGTGCTGTGGGGAAGCTTTGACACATGAAGTATCGGATTCCTGTCATCAAAATGAGTAAATCTTTCACGATCCTTTCCGCCTCATGGACTGAGACAACCATAGGCCAGGCTCCAGCTCAGGGCTTCATGGTCCTCTCGTCAGGTTGTTTAGCTTTCCTAAATCATCGGAGATGTATGATGAGGATTTCCGTTGAAAGAGCTGTTGAATTTTTCCCTTGTGTGTTCGGCAGCCTTCCCCTGGGGCGACCTCCCACACTGAACAATGTTGACACACTATGAGCTAGCTGTATAACTCCCATTTCCTTTGATTCTCTCACTTTCCCTAAGAGTGTATGCGCGCGTACACGAATACACACCCACTTACTCCTTCACCCTCCATTCATCTATTCAATGTATTGAACTTTTATTCTCTTTTCACTGCTTCCTTTTCACTGACAACCCCTCTATTACCTTTTCAATCTCCTTTGCCTTTTTGACTCCCCCAGAAAAGTGGAATTCTTCAGCCGGCTGCTCCCTGAAAATGTGCAATTACCATTGTTTTCCTTTTTAAATATCGACCATCTCGCTCAGGATATAATTGTAATTAGGATATCCTTTTCCACTCGCCAGTAATAAGTCACGTTTGATAATTTCCCCTCAACGTTTCAAACTGGAGGGCTTTTTCCGAGCCCGGAGTTTGTGTCGCTGGATGCTTGGCGTTGCAGCCATGGTGATGGATATGAGGCCATTCTCAAAAATAACACGGCTTACCTTTAATCGTGGCAGTCCACTTTACACATTAGCACAATCAGTTTAATTGGGGAAATAGCTGAGCGAGAGGTGACATCAAAGACGGAGGCAAACGGCCCAGCGCATGCAATCACCCAGCATCCATTGCTGCCTCTGGACAGGGCCGTGCGTCACGGTGGCTGAAGTGGAAAATGTGAATCGTCCACAATGCCTTGTAATGCAGAGAGAGGTCTTTGTGGCCTGCCAGACTGCATCACTGTGCCCATTTGTCTGGGTGGTGTTTTTCATGTTACTTTGGGGGTCATGGAGCTCTGGCATGTGACTCCACAGCAGCAGCAGCAGCAGAGATATTTATCCATGTCCATGTGCTGGAGACACAGTACGAAACAATCAGCAACTTTTATGGTTTCAGAAGCCAGATTCTCGTATGTCACATTCTCCTTGCTTACATCAAGGTAAAGGCAAGGTCAGACCAGACTACTTGTTTGAGTTCCACTTACTGTATAATGCTGTTCTTTGTAAATGTGTACAATACACACTGCCATGTAACACAGTATGTGGGTGGGAAATTGTCACACCCTGCATGTGCGTTCAAAATTTGTGAAATTTAAGTGCAGACTAGAGTCAAAGCTTTTTACATTTTTCTGAAAGCAGAGCTGATCTTGAGTTAGAAATAATAGTTAGGTTTAACCTTATAGCAGTATTAATAGATTTTTTTGGGCCACATCTGGCACATTATCACCTTATAAAGGTCATATGGCTACATGTTATCCATATGACAAGCTGTTTTCTATTTAAACATCCTGCAGACACACAGTCGTATTTATTTGCAGTCATGTTTCCGGCTAGTTCAATATTCACTCTCCTTGTAGTTTTGTTTTGCTCTCCACCAACTTCTGAGAAAACTATCTTGCTCTTAAGCTGCTAATGCTCCACTTTACCCCACCACAGAATCTGACTGGAGCCCGACCAGCGCCAAAGCCCAGCCCCTGGGGAAAGGCTAAGTGTTTTTAAAAGACTTTCTTCATTATTAATCGCTTGTCCCCGTCTGCGTTAGTTTGTCTGTGTTAATTGTTATTAATGTTAGTTTTAGTGCAGCAGTTCGGCCACCTAATTACCGGAGTGGTGGGATTGTCAGATCCTCATATGCCGCCCATGTGCACAACACGGCTGTATTTGCGGTGTAATGTGATTTTCATATGAAGTGCATTTTCCTTGTTGAAGTGCCAGAAGGGGATATAGCTACCTATGTCTTACATGTGTGCTGTGGTTAGCTTTATACCCATACACTTTGGTATAATAAAGATGAATCTGTTTCAACAAGCTGTGGTAATTCTTCTTCCTTTGAATGGTGTAATAATTGAAATGTTCTTTACGCTAGGCCTGTCTACTTTCAACAGCTAGTAGCTAACGTTGTCTGTCTGTTGTTTGGGCTGGTAGTGTACAGTGGTAAAAACCAGTGCCTGCTGCTAAGGAAGCAAGTTGATGAGAGCAATGAAACCAAAACACTACAGTTATGGGCCATAAGCCCAAAACAATGAGCTAAAAGAGGCTAAAACGCTCTGTAGAGCCAAGCTGCCATCTTGCACTGGTGGCATCATTTATAGCCACGGTGTGCGCAGTGGAAATCAGATTTTGAGCTACGGTATCGAGGTCCCGCCCGACCCAATTGAGAGCAAGGCTCAGCTGTCAATTGTGATGTGATCGTGTTTTTATAGCATCAATTAACTAATTAAAACTTTTGAGATAAATAAAAAATTAAGCATAGATCATTGTGATAGGAACTACTTGACTTGAATGACATCAACCATCTTTGGGAAAAATATATAGAGGGGGCGGGGTTTATGACCTACACTGCAGGCTTCACTTTTGGGGAGTTGTCATGTCCATTTTTATATAACTCAATTGGTGCAATAAATGCAGTATAAACATTAATACTGTTGGTGTCTGAAGCGGTCAGAGGTAGCCAGAGCTCTGTTTTATTACATTCATGGAAATTCAGCGAAATTGTCCCAGAAAACTGTGATAAAATGACTGATCTTAAAAGGAGCCACTTCACTGGCCTGGAACGCCTGCCACCAGAAACAGCAACCCTGGTAAGGTTTTCACTAATATAACAACGAAAGACGGCAAATGGATGGTTCCAGTCTCACACAACACTTGGCATAGCTATAACAGTGGCTCGTTTCCAGCATATTAATCTATGGTAAGGTACCAGAGAAAAAGTCCACCATAATACTCTGTTAGCACTTAATGAAATGTTCCCCGGTGTGTGCAGTCACGCACCTACAAGGTTGTAACAACACTATGCAAGTGCAAACAATCACATTTGCACGCTTTGTATGGTAAATCAGATTAGATTCAAACAATTTACATATATTAAACATGATGCAGGTCTTGCATACTGAATGCTTGCTTTATTTGTAAATTGCATGCATCCAAATGTAAGGAAGGTCTTTCACTGTGACTTAAACCAATAACTTTCTCTCAGAACCAATGCTCTCACTGTAGATACTCCACATATGTTTGTATGATTCCACATTTTGATTTTTGTTGCACCTCTTGCAACCTCAGCCACCCTTAACCCCCCCAGCTTTGGAAATCACTTGAGAACAGCAGGAAGACAGCAATGTCAGCAGACAAGACTGGTGCAGAAAATCCATCTCCACCCCATCTTTCACTCATCAGCCATCACCACGTGCAATGACCTAAGCAGAGGCTGCACAGGTCAAGACCACGCTGTCCGTCTCTGTTACTCTGTTCATGAATAAACAGAGGCCAGTGTATGGGTGTGCGTGTCCGTCAGGGCGATTACACGCACACAAAAACACACACACACAAACGCTCACACACAGCCTCGTGCCGACTCCACTGGCATAATTAGAAACATTTGGGATCATTTGCAAAGGGAACACGAGCTCTGATGGGATCCAGATGCACTACTGGGTTTCACCAAAATACAGGAACACTTATTTACGAGGGGCCATTACTGGCTCCTCACCCAGGGAGGTGTGTGTGTGTGTGTGTGTGTGTGTGTGTGTGTGTGAATGTGTGTGTGTACTGCCCAGTTTGTCCAGATACTAAATGAGTGTTTGGGGGTGGTTCATCCATATTCAGGTCAGACTCAGTTTAATGTCTATTGTTTTTGTGAGAATATGAGGGTTTCAGTGTATTTCTGAACACGTGATGGGGGGGGGAGTCAAAAGCAGAATGTTACCAACACACAGAAAGCTTGATGAAGACTAAATTCCATTTAATGATAGATAAATGGCATTCACAGTTTGCTTTGTCATTTCAAGATGGAACAACTTCAGCACGTGTGGAGTTTTTCTGTCCTCATCGAAATCGACACCAGTAATTCTTTTACAGTTTATTTAAGTCGCCTTCTTCTTTTGGCGCCAACAAAATGTCTCTTGGATTTCCTGTGGAGGACAAAGAAAATCAGACTATTAGCCTCCCCCTCGTTCCCATTAAATGCTGTTAATTGAGAAGTGAGACTCAGCAGCACTGACAGAGCTTGCTCTACAAAGAGGGTGAGTGCTGTCACTTGTAGTGCTGTGCTGCCATCTTGTGGCCAAGAGATGAACAGGTGGTTTACATGAAATCGAACCATTGTTATAAATAGAGGTTCTTTTACCTGACATTTTGCATTGGCATAACATTAATATGCTTATGTTTGGATAGAAGCCTTGAGAGAGTTTTATGTTATTTAGAATATGGTTAGATTTAGGTTTAGATGAGAGTTTGTTGAGATCATGTAAAAGTTTGGTGTGGTTATAGTAAGAATATATATAGACGGTCTATTTTCTCTGATTGTGTGATTTGTTGTCATGCACCTACAAGGCATAACCTCTTGATGGCACATGAGATATTTGGTTTAGGACAACAGTTTCCATCCACTAAAGTGTGTGTTTTAAAATGAAATACTGTTAAGTCTTCATTCAGGTGTCAGAGATGCAAGAAAATATCCAGAAAAATCAACATAATCAAACCAAAAAAAACACATTTAATTTGCCAGTTTGTTCCCTCTTCGTCTCGTAGCACTCTTCAGACTTGCCATTCTCCATCCATCCTCCAGATGCCCTCAAACTTTACCACCAGTCCCAGTCACATGACTCCTATATCTACTTGCTCACCTGTTACTCATTCCCTAATTAAACCACCCCCAACTGTATTTAAACCACCTTCTCATTGTCCAGGCTGGACTGTGAATATTGCTTCATGTCTTTTTTTTTTCAAGCCACCTAAACCTGAACCAAAATCTGTGCCTGCCTGCCCCCTTTTCCTGCTCCATTCCTGTTTACCTGCAGATTCTAGGCTACTTCTGTTCAGACTTGCTGCCTTTGCTTGTAAGCATGTGTCATCATTTCACCAATTAATCACTGAACTGTTCCTGTCAGCATTTGGGTCTTTTTCTTGCTGCCTCCTACACACCCGACTGTCACCTCATTATCCAGTTACTCACATTTTTATTTAATGAATGCTTCCTCAAATCCTTGCATGTTCAGCCTCCAACCTCTTGGCTCCCGCATTCTCTCACTGTTTCGTCGTTATGCCTGGAATACAGAGACAAAACTTTACTGCTAGTTAGAAGCTGCAAAATTGACTTGAAACATTATGTTAAAACTCAGCGAGCACTGATTCCGATCCAAAAGACTGTACTCTTATCATGTTCTGTCATGTCACACTGAGTTACATTATGTTTTGTCACAACATGTTGTGTAAGAGATCAGGGTGTTACACAATGTCAGATGATGCTACGTTGTTTCATGTTTTCTTTATGTAATATTAGTGCCTGCCTGCAGTGTTCGAAGTGATTGAAAACATCAGTTTATCCCTCTGGACTGTGACAGTAAATAAAACTCCCACTGGCTGGTGATCAAGAAGGTCAGAACATACTGTGTCAAATCACATCACGTCACGTCACACTGTGGAACATCTCTGACCTTTCGGCAGGGTCTGAGTTCATTGATAAGATCAGCTTAATGCACCGATCAGAACACCGATATCGTTCATTCTGTCCTCGGTCTCCATCACCACGTCCTGATTGATCAGGATCCATTGATTCTTCCACTGTATGACACTGTGCTGTCACTCATGTGCCGATAAACTGATCAACGGAAGGAAGGACCCCTGCAGGCAACAAACAGGTGAGGAAATCAGATGACTGCAAATGTGTGTGTGTGTGTGTGTGTGTGTGTGTGTGTGTGTGTGTGTGTGTGTGTGTGTGTGTGTGTGTTGATACCTGGTGCAGGCCGACAGAGAGTCAGTCGAACCTCAGGTGGTGAAGTCTTAAACAGCTTTAGCACCTTCTACAGAAAGAAGAGAGAATGTTTTACAGCGCTATATACAAGTAATGAAGCTTCAGATAGCTGATATCAGTGGTGGAAGAAGTATTCAGACCCTTTACTAAATTAAAAGTACTTAAAGTAATTCAAGTTTTTTTGATGCCTGCAACCGGGTCGGATTTGGTTGAATTCCTTCTGAAATCATTGAAACAGGCTGCTTTTGTCCACAGGGGGCGCTATAATCAATATATAATTAAAGTTCCTTGTAGGGTCTTTAAATTTGTGAGTATTATCAGCAAAATGTGTTTAAAGTATCAAAAGTTAAAGTACTCATTCTGCATAAAAAATGTTCCCTGTCAGTGTTTTACTATTATATATGATGTTTTTGGATTATTAATGTCTATGTTTATGTAGATGTATATGGTTGAGCTACATTTAACTACTTTATATAATGTTGGTATCCTGTGAGCACCATGTATCTTTAAAAAGTTTTCACAAGCTCAAAAAAACTGCCCTTTTTTCAGCTTTGTGACAGTGTTTTTTCTAGCTAATCCAAGAGGGTTTTTAAATCGTTTATTTACCTTAACACTTAATCCTTCCCTTCACAATTAATTTCACATGGTTTTCAATGGACAGGAAGGGTATGAAATATTAATAATATGAAAAGCTGTAAGACAAATGCAGTGGAACCTCTGAAGAAAACTTGCATAAATTGTAAATACTGTTAGTTACATTCTACCTATAGTTGGTGTTCTGTAGCAGATCTTTAAAACTCACAAAAAAAATCAACATTTAGACCATCACATGAGAGAAAAACAACCCACCATTGTTAAAAATAAAAGTTTCCATGCATATATAAATGCAGTTTGGTCAGAATATTAAACCAGTTTACGTTAAAGGCCTGGCATAGAGAATCAGTGCAGTATTGATCTATTATGCAATAATTAGAATCATACAACTGCATCATATCCATCATATTAGTAATCAACGACAATAACTTATTTTAATATATTATATCAACAACAGCATGTTCACTTTAACTCATTTACAGTCACGTGTCAAACTAATATATCATTATGCAAATGAGAAATAATTTTCCATAGTGAATTTAAGTTCACAAGTAAACTTAAGAAAAGTCCATCACATATAAACAAATCATAAACTTGAAGTCTGCACATACTGGATATGACAGCTCCTTGAGTGGCTGGCCATTGATGGCCAGCAGAATGTCTCCCTCCTGGATCCGGCCGCTCTGCTCGGCTGGCTGGCCGGGGAAAAGCTGCTTTATCCGGACAAGGCTGCCAAAGTCCTGAGTGGGCGGATCCAGCTCGCACATTAGGAAGCTGAAGCCAAGGCCGTTGGCACTTCTGGTCAGAGTCACTTCCTGGGTGTTGTCTGAGGGTTTGGAGGTAGGAGGATGGAGGCAGTAATGGGATAATGATGAGGTGAAACACAGTGCAGATGTATGGAGGTTAGGAGTTCGGAGGAAATTGGAAAAAAGGAGGTGGTAGGGAGAGGAAGAAAGAAGGGAAGAGAAAACATAAAGCTGATTATCTTTTTTGTTTGAGAAAATGCATTAGAAGATGTTTATTTTAATCAGTTGTGTCTTGTTCAGATTGAAACTTAAACTGAAAAATGAATAAAATGCAAATAAAAAAGCATAATTAGATATTTGGTGTCTAGTCTCGGACCTCATCACTCCCCACAAGGATGCAACGGGACTGGGGAGCGACAATAACAGGGAAAATGAAACTCAGAGCCTAAAAGTGGATGCTATGGTGGTAGATGGGTGTTCATAAACGGCAGCAGTGGTTGCAAGTGACTGCAGCAGTTTAAGCATTATTTTCAGGATCAAGCAATCCACCAACAAGCATGGCTAAAGGGTGCCATCGAGGGTAGTAAAAGGTGTGTCGGACATGCAGTATGTTTCAGTAAGAAGAAAATGTTATGTGAGCAGAAGACTCGAGGTGTAGGAAGCTTGAAAAGGCCAATACATTTAGTGATTTTTTTGTATACCTTAAAAGCAATAGTTAGACATTTAGGGAAATACACTTATATGGTTTCTTGCTGAAAGTTAGAAAATCAATACATCTCACATATCTCTCTGATAAATACAAGGCCACAGCTGGCAGAGGAAATGGGGAAACAGCTAGCCTTCTCCAAAAGACTGCAACCTGTCATTTTTACACTTAGTTTTTGTATGGATTAAACAAATGATATTATGTGTTAATAAGTTAGCTTTAGAGGTGTTAGTAGATTTTGTTGTACAGAGCCGTGCTAGCTGTTTCCCCCTGTTTTCCGTCTTTGTGCTACACTAAGCTAACAGGCTGCTGGTTGTAGCCATATATTTCGCAGACAGATATGAAAACAAATAAACATACTTCCCAAAATGATTCTCAGACTATTCCTTCAAGTAAACAATATTTTTTGCTACAGTTAGCCTAATTATTATTATTTTTTGCAGTCATTAAAATTAAATTTAAAAACACAAAAGATTGTTTTATAAAGTTTTGTTGTTCTTCTTACAACAACAATTTGTCAACTCATATTATGGTCAGAACAGATTCTCTTGATCACAGAATAATTATTTTATCATCACAGGAAATCAAGGCTTGTTATATATATTTCATGGTCAAGATAAAGAAATCATTACTTGCATGTCCTCTCCAGCCTTCTGTAGACATGATGAAAGCAACAGTAAAAGCAATTATAACACCATTTTGATAGACAAAGGTTGCATTCAGTTATATGAATCAGTGACGAATACAAACAACAAGGCACAGAACGAGCAAAAAAAACAGGTCGGTGAAATGGGTGGGAGGGACATTTTGAAGGTTTATATATCAATCGACATTGGCTATTTTGGCCTCACATGTCTTGTGTGAACGGTTGTCAAAATGATAACCTCTAAAAGGGATGAAACTGCATTGTGTTAAAACATGTGATCTGCCTGCCTGTGCGAGAGGAAGGAGAGGAGATGTGGGATGACAGATATAGAAGGACAGACCGAAGGATAAGGGAGGCCAGGGGTATAAGAAGATGAAGGTCAGGGTCAGCAAGGAAGATCAGGATGAGGAGAAGGGAGTGTGTCAAAGTTCACCTTGAAGCAGCCAGACTAGCCTGGTGGGCTATTAAAGCACACAACAGCTTAGAGTTGTCAGGTTCTCTCACGCAGGTTCTTCCTCAGTAGTGTGAGGTGTTGTGACATAACGTTCTGTCTCTCTGAGGGAACTGCAGATCGATCTATTGGCAAAATTTGTTTCATTATAGAAGTTTGCAAGAGCACAAATGGTCTCTGCAGATATTTCTGAGCAGTTCCCAGAAAGAGATCCTGTGCTTTCTTAGTTTGTTGGGGCACTTATATGTATTTTGTGTTAATTGGTCTAAAGCTAAACTAAGTTCTCCTACCATCAGTGACAAAGCTGTAGTCCCTGGGCCGGTCAGAGATCGTGTTTGGAGGAGTACTGATGGATGAACAGCTGTTGATCTTTTGTGGGCTGTTAGCTGGACTGATGCTCTGATTGGATACACTGCTGCTGGTGTCTGCACTGAGAGAAACCCTGGCTCGGTTCATCAGCTCCCTCTCCACAACCATGGTTACCACCTAGAGGAAGGAAGGGAAGGAAAAGACCAGAATGTGATAAGGAGGAATACAAATAGGAGTTTAAAGTGTAACTGCACCCCTCAATTCTGCTTGCTCCCTTCTTCTCAGCAAATTTAAAAAATGCATCAGAGACCTGCAAAGGAGTCAGTCACAGCAGTGTAGCTGGTAGTCAAAGCTAACCGAGCTAACCAGCCATTAGCAGTCGCTGTCAGACTCTGTGTGTCCATGCTGGAAACAATTTGTGTCCATTGGATCTTTTACAGTCACTTGAAGCACATTCACAGCCCTTTGCAACAGTTTCTGTGTGGTACCTGTGTTGTAGCTAAGCTAACGGCTCACAGAGGCTAACTCTCTGGTATGTGTCTGGGGGTGGACTGTCAGTGTGTGGGATCATCATCAAAGTAAAGACTGCAGTCTGTGGGGCTTTTACAGACATCAAAAGTACAAGTCCGAACCATTGCAGCAAAATACAAAAACACTGGGGGAGGTGGGCCGGATTAGAGGCTATTAACATTCTTTTTCTATACAAATGTTGTAACGTAAAGTAGTCCCAAACAGTCGACTCTATGTCAGCATTGGCCTTGCAAGGTTCAGGGTGATTTAAAACGGTAGATGTCCTGTTGAGCCATTTTTAACCCATGAAATGACATGTCATATGTTCAAGTGTTGTGCCCCTCTTTACAGTTTTAGGTAGAAGAGGGGACCAGAAAATGGGATAAAAGAGGAGAGGAAGCCGAGAGTGGAAGAAGAGAAGGGTGTGAAGAATGGAAATAGATAGTTGCAGGGGACCATTTGGGAATTAGGATTCATCCTCTGGGGACCATTAATATTTGCACGAAATCCATCTTCATATACAGTCAATGGTACCAACAGAACAACAGACTGATATTGTCATCCCTATAGCAATGTTTCTAGCATGGTTAAAACATGGCATCATCAGCATATATAGGTATCATTGGTCTCTAATAGACTTCTCACTCTGACATAATACAACCATCAGTCACATGTCGTCCTTTACCTCCCCAGTTTTACTCAGGCATCCCACAGCCTGCTGGTAAGTAAACCCTTGGAAGCTTATCCCGTCCACCTCCAACACTCTATCACCTGTAATAGAGAGAGATTAAATAATATTTAACTTATGTTGGTTTCTGTTTCTAGCTGCTTGTAATATCATTGTTTCTCTCCTGAAAGCATAAGCTGAATGACTTAATATACACACCCAATTTTCCCATCTTAATAAGTGTTGAATGTCAGTGACACAGTGATAAATAGAGTGTTGTTTGTCCACTTGTGGAGCTGTTATGGCTTGGGGGAAGATGCTCAAAAATAAATCTAAAGTGTTAAATTTAATTATTTGCTTATTTGCAGCAATAAGATAACATAGCATAACTTGTACCCTAGATTGTTTTTCTTCCTGTTTTCCTATTAACAATTTCATCTGAAAACAAGGTGTAATGTGCAAGTCATTATTGCAACTGTATGCTTGTTAGTTTCGACTGTTTTCCTTGAAGGATTTTAATAACATATATACCCTTTTAATTTTAGATGGTGGATAGTCAATAATCCTGCAGTGAGCTCATGCTCAGGGCTATTTCACTATAAGACTCAGAAAGTGCTAAAGGTGGTGAGTCTGCAGAAAATCTGCACGTTTGTAAGAAGGAGCTACCCATAATTCATACTTGTGAGAAATCAATTTTGAATGACTGTAAACAGATCAAACATACCATTACTAAACCAGTTAGGAAACATTGTTCTCCGCAAGTACATAAGGCCTTAGCATTGTTGGATTTGATATTTAGCTGTAATACCTGCATGTAGATGTCCATCTCTCTCAGCAGCCCCTCCTGGAACAAGGCTTCTTATGTAGATTCCTCCATTAGGGAGGTTTGTGTTGCCAGCCTGAATGATTCATGACAAAAACTCGGATTCAGAACACATTTGTGATATATTGAATGGTAGGAGGGAAAACAGTGGGCAAAGAAACTGTTTCATTTTAGGTTGCTGTTTCATTGCTTGTAGCAGCGCAGTTTATTGTGCAGCAGCGATCAGTGTGAGTGAGGTAAAATTGACCAACATCTCTCTCTCTAATCTTGTCAGATGTTAATCAGATTGGGCAGAGCAGACTTTGAGGCCCACTGCTGGAGCTGCTGTATAAATTATCCTCCTTGACTGTTCATTCCTAATGTCAAATTCTGACATTGTAAACAAAATAACTGGAAGAAAACAATATTTTACACACTGTCAACATCAGTCATTGAAAGTACAGTCACATAATATCTAAGCCTGGGGTGACCTCATCTTTTTCAAAATATTTGAGATTTCACTCACAGAGATGCTGAGGCCCAGACTTCCTGATATCTTTCTGAGCTCCACGGTGATCTCCTGCGGCCTCACACAGTTTAGGGGGGGAGACGGAGAGCAGCTGTCCTGAAAGCAACACACACAGCAACAACTGCAGTCATGTCTCTCTGTGTGTCTGACTGCACCTACCCACTGATCCTTGCATCCAGACAGATTATTGACAGTGTAAAAAAGACAACAGATCAGATATGTGCAGTTACATAACAATATGGCCTCAATAAGACCTAAACCATCACCATGATTCTACCTGTGCACTGAGGACTCGTACTTCTCGGGGGACGTGAAGCCTGTTGCCAGTCTTCGGTGTCATCATGACTGACACAGTCTCATCCAAGCTCTCCTGATCTCCTGATCGGCCGTCTGTCATTAGCGTGGTCTGGGACTCGTAATTCCTCATCACAGGAGAGCGTACGGTGTTGGGACTGACGAGGACTGTGGATGATATCAACAGGGTCAGTTAATGTTATATTTAATTGTTGGAAATGTTCATACATGGTAAGAGTAACCAAGGTTTTAAACGAATAGTTCAACATTTTGGGGAGAGAGATAGAGGTTCAAACTCTGACTCTCTTCTTTCCTCTATATAGCTGACAAAATCACCATGTGAGGTGGGTGTGAATGTTGGATCCTCACTTTCAGAAAGGTACAGAAATGGACACTTGAAAAGATGTAGGGGAAGGGTCTTTCCGAAGATATTAAACCATCCAACAAGCACTTCTCACGGAGTCTACTGGCCCCTTAACAAGGTAGAGCCAGCAACCGGTGAGCTTAGATTAGCACAAAGACTGAATGTGGGGGGAACCAGCTAGTTGTTACACCAAGTTTTTGTTCGAATAAAAAAAGAGATAAAACATGACTAACCCTGCTCCCAGCTATAAAATACCCAGCCAGGACATTTTTACCCTAACCACTCACTCCTCATGCCTAAACCTAACCAACCCACAACCAACAAACCAACAAAGGCATCAAATATTACCCAGTCAGAGGAAGAGTAGGGCAGGTCATGACATTGCTACCCTGGGAAAAAAATGTGATTTCCCATCTGAAACCAAAAAAGTTTTGTTTCACACCGTTATAAACATGATTTCTGTTGCGTAACATACGCATGTAACGTACTATTTAAAACCAAATCATGATGTTTTCCTAAACCTAACCAAACTGCTACTGTTTCACAATGTTAACTACGTGTTTAAAGGACACTCACTAAGGGTGTCATATGCCACTCTCATTCTGTACAATAAATACAAAGCAGCAGCCAGTTAGCTTCGCATATAAATAGGTAGCCTGGCTCTGTCCAAATACAAAATCCCCTGACCAGCACTTGTAAAGCACTCATTTATACAATTAGATTTTTGTACTGATATAGAAAATAAGATAAAACATGTTATGTACATGTTTATTTCTTTTATTTATTTGATAGATGTTTTCCCCCTGTTTCCAGTCTTTGTGCTAAGCAAAGCTAACTGCTGCTGGCTGTAGCAGGGGCATCAATCTTCTCATCTATTCCTTAGCATGAATACAAATAAGGGTATTTAAATGTATCTGAAAGACCTGAAGAATACAAATGTTATTTTTGTCCTGATAGCTACAGTACATTATATTGACTGAGATATAATGAAAATCATTGTGATATATGTTGTTTTAGAGTTTAAAATGTAAAGAAATGGCACATGAGAGAACACTCTTACTCTCCTAAGGCTTGGACTTTTCTCAGTTAGACTATAATGTGTTTAACGTAAAATTTTTAGGCTTTATACTGTGTGATGAGAGGTGGAGGCTAGAATGTGTTTACGCCCTTGAGAGCAGAATGAGTCAACGTAAACTGACATTTTGCCCGAAGACAAACTAGTCGGATGGGGATATAAAAATACACTAATATTTTTGACATATTATTACATATAACAATAGAGCGCAAAACAATACACTCAGGGACATGTGCTAAAACCACAGGATAGACAACAAAGGAAAGAAAGGAAAGACGCAAATCTTTTACATGTTAGTAGTTCAGAGCAGGTGCATCAATAGAAAAGGCTTATTACGAAATCACCAACATTACACGCAAACAAAAGAGGGCAAGGGTCAAGGCCACATTATCATTAAACAAACATACATATATACACACACCCACACACACACACAGAGCACCTTTTGGCTGTGAGATAATGAGCTGCACCTCCTCAGGGCTGCTCTGCATGACCTCCGCTGCCTCGCTGAAGGTGACGCCCTCCAGGCTGATGTGGTTCAGAGAGATCAGACGACCGCCTGCAGGCAAAGGTCACAGTGAAATGGTGCTGGTGTCCTATAACAGTGGACTTCACCACCACCTCTGAAGCCATGTGTGACCCCTAATGCCTATAATTGAACCCCAGACACCTCCCACACCCTCTTTGTCCTCCTTTGCACTGTCCTGCCACACATTCTCTGCACCCATTCTCTTAAAACAGAGGAAAATGTTGGATGACTTCAAAAGAAAAACACCTATAGCCAGATTGAATGAACATATACAAGGGTCAAAAGTCTGTACCAAAATGAGGTATCCACCATTTGACAGAACAGAACTCATTAGTGGTGTGTTTAGGAATTCAAATTGGAAAAATTTGAATTGAACTTAAATTGTTGAATTCTAAATGGAAAAGCAAAGCAAACTCCTGTTCCTAAGCATAAAGTACAAATGACCACAAGATTCTCTACCTGGTCGGATGCGTCCATCTTTATCAGCAGGTCCATTAGGCACAATGGAAGCAACAAAGATGCCCAAGTCATAATGTCCCACAGTGTCCTCTCCCACTATCACTATACCTATACAAACACAAACCACAGATATAAGAAGAAGAGACATATTTGTCATATTCCTTTGTGGCTTTCAAAGGACTTAAGATTATGATTTATTAATCACGTCACAGAACTGCTGTCAGGGTGCTTACATGATCTGAAACATTTGTCCCTATCAGGTTTGTTCATGTTCATCATTTTGCTTGGAAAGTTTACTCCATTCACTCAAAGTGACCATGTAGTAGCAAGAGTGCACTAGCACGTAAGGATGACACACTGTAATGGTAGTTTACTGCACGTCTATTGTGCATTGAAGGAAAAGAGCATCCAGTTAACTGAAAATCTAAACAATTCTTCTTCAAACTCTCTGTTGATGCTGTGTATTTAAGTGTGATCAGCTTACCCAGGCCAAGCTTTGGATCTTTCTTTAAAGACACACATATGACTTCTCTCTCTGATGGCGGCCCTAGTTTTGTTGGGGTTTCTGTAAGGCACAAAGATTAACACATAAACCTTAAAAGTGAACTGGTCTGATGCAGCCATCACTGAGAAGATGCATCATTTGTCATGCGTTATGCCACAACTGTCAACACTGAATAATTCATCACATCTGTTAAGAAATAAGGAAGTATGATGGGAAGAAAAGGTTCTGCAGTTGGCAACTTTTCACTGAATTGCAAAGAGGCCTGTTGCAAAAGCACATAGCGCTAACACCATCTCTGTTTAGCTACTTTATCATGGAGCAGCTTGCTGAGTGGTGATCTTGAGGTACAACATCTGTCACGGGCTGGCCGTCAGGTAGGCAAATGAGCAGTAAACTTGGTCCTACCTCTGGCTGCCGGGGAGCCAGAAGGAGCTTCGGATCCGCTCCTCTGAGAGCAGGATGGGGAATGCATTCCAGTGCTGCTGCGCTGACTGCTGGAGCAGGTACTGCAGAATAATCACAGAAAACCAATGTGATAATAGTGATAGAGTGACTGACTCATATTGCACAATCGTGTCCTCTGAGAACAGGAAGTGCTTTTTGGAAAAAGCAGAAGAAGGAGTGGTTGAAATTAGCATGAGCCAAAGGACAGACTTTATCTCACCTCAAGTTTAGGCCACATTGTTTCTTAAAGAGTTCAAGAACAATTCACAAATAGAACAAATGCAACACCAGATGTTGCTGTTCTCTGATGTGCAAACTAGAGATTTGTTGAATGAGATTTGAATGTTTAAAGTGGAAATATGGCTATACAGCTGCGTTTCAACCACCTCAGGGACTAGGAACATTTGGAGGACCAAGGTCTAAATTACATTCCGGGGACATTGTTTTACCCCTAAAAAAGTCCCTGTTTGGAGGGAAGTACTTTCCACAAGTACAGAAACTTTGGGGTTGGGGCTTTCATAAATATTTCTGATTGGTCGAGCACTCGCTGTTAGTTTTTTGTTCACTGTACACATCAACAGATACAGAAGAAAGCATACAACAGATGAACCAACAATGTATTCTGTTGCAAAAATTACATGTAAAAACAGGCGTCACTTTTAAATACAATCACTGGACTGATTTGCCTAATCTTTGCCGGTCTTTAGATGGGAGCTGAAGGACCCTTTTATTTCCTTGAAAGGTTGTTCCTGAGACAAAAACGTCCAGGTACTTAAGGTGGAAGCCTAATGATGATTGTACCTCTGCTCATTGAGGCTCTGGCGCTGCAGTTTAATACGGGTCTCGATCCTGGCTGCGACATCATCGCAGAGCTTGTTCAGGGACTCATCCTGAGGCGTTGTCAGACCGCTGTCATCCTGTGGCGTCTCTGAACAGGAGTAGGACTTGTGGCGGCTGCTCTGAGCCCGACACACTGCAGCATACTGCACGATGTTCTCCTCTGGAGGTAAACACAAAGAAACACAGAGGAGTCACCAAACAGCGGTATGGGTTTTAGTTTTGTCTTTTCACTTATGTCTTCTTCTGAGGTCCACAGAAAAATGGCAACTCTGTAGCGGTAACTGACCTGAGACCAGGCTGTGGGTGAGCTGGCGAGAGGTCATCTCATTGTTGAACTTGTGCTGGGCCGAGCAGAGGTTACACAGATATTTGGCAATCTTGGATCTCTCTGTGATGAAGGTGTACTTCTTCTTGCTGCCCCGGCTCTCGACTACAAATTTACGCCTCTGCAGGAACACAAGGCAAATGTTTATTAGGGCACAGCACACACAGATACACAAGAGTTGTCACTACCAACCAATTTGAATTTCACATAGCAAAAGGATTTAAATGATAAAACCATCACTCCGCTCACAGTAGAGGAGATTGTTGCTGTCTCCCTCCAGTAAAAATTCTGACTGGTAGATCTGCCGCCGTCTTTAATCTCGTAGACGATGACTCCTTTGGCACAAACCCCGAGGATGATCTCTCCTTCTAGAGGCTTTTTCTCACGCATCACACGGTGGAACAGCACGCCGTATTCAGGCAACTGCTGACACACCTAAAGGCACAGAGAGTGATTTCTTCATAAGATTCTGACAGAAGTAAAAAGTGCTACAGGTGTTGACTTGAATCTTCAAATAAAAGCCTAATGCACACCACTAGCTATTATTTTTTATGATAACATTTTTACTTTTGCTACCTTGAGGAACTCAAGCTCTGATTCGTCAGCAAGCATCTGAGCGTTGTTGGTGTGAAGTCGCAGCAGCTCCCCCTGAATGTAAGGCAAGGCACGTTTCTCCATCACACTCTTGGAGACGTACTGGTCAGGGCGGTAGTAGTTCCTACCATACACCTAAACACAAAACAGCAAAACTTTAGATTTTCCCCAGAAACTCAATTATACATACTGGAGTATTTTTTTAAGGCGCAAAATGTATCATTTTAAAGGAGATTAATTTTAGTCTTAAGAAAGAAAACAAATGCAGAAAAGGACAAAGCAACTGGTTTTATGGGAACTTTAGCCTTATGGGAAAAACGTGCATCAAAACCTCAGCAACCATCTGTGTAAATGTGCAACCCTAACCCTAACCACTGTCCTATTCCCCAGTATAAACATGTGGCAACTCTTTTATCATATACACTCTGTAGATTGGCACTTCCTGGCTACTGTACTTATGATGTGCTCGGAATATACAACGGCCGATCGATTGACACGCATCAAATGACTATGGTCCATGCCTGATGCATTTTGGTGAAACTGCGGGATCAGATAGAGGCCAGCACTTGTGTCCCTTTTGGTCTCATTGCTTTCCAGTGATTATTTTATACCATATACCAATGCTATGACACTTAAACTGACTGTAAATAATATATCAGTGTTTAAAATGCTGTATTTGGTACATTTAAATCAGTTTTTAGTTGAATTAAGTTGACTGTAGACACTGATTTTGACAAAGTTATTAGAACAAGTCATTTCTGAGAGAGCTTCTTTGAGTTTACATGTTTTAAAATTCATTGTGTACAACCTCAGGCATGCAGTCTCCACACTCCGTCTGTAGGGCCAGACCTCCCAGGTACAGAGCCGTCTCCTCATGGCAGGACAGCCTGTCCTCCAAAAGGTCTCTCCTGAGCTGGAGGTAATACTGGTGGCGGGTCTGTTTGTGCCTGATAGAGAAGGTGGTACACAATTAAATGATTCTACCCAACTTTACAAGACACATTTTGTGTTGTTGGTGTTAACTCAAGTACTTACAAAAGAAGAGAAATGTCAGTGACAAAGAATTTGACCCTGAAGAAAAGGACAAAGGTGGTTGTAGGCACTTTCTTCCAGCTATCTGGAGCAACTTTGGAAATCTTGGTATCGTTGTCCACAAAGAAGAATTCATTATCTGACCAAAGCGAAGAACAGAGAGAAACCGTGAGTATACCTTAATAACGTATGAATTATAATCTACCTACACCAACAAGTTGTTGACCTTCCTTTGTGGTCGTTTAACCATTTTTGGTGTTTTTTTCTGGTAGTTTTTCTCAGAAATGTACTGTAAACATGTGGAACTGAAGGCACCCATTACCTCATATATGATACCTTATGTATGAAACTTGAGTTTTATACTTTTTATATTCTCACCCATAAGAAAATCCAATCAGTTCTCTAGGAAAAGGAGTGAACGTTGCATTGTCAGGCTTTTGGTGTCTATGTATATATCTCCTGAATAAATTACCTCTCTTGGTCAATTATTATTATTTACTCATCCCTATTATAATTACTGACAGTTTTAACCTCATCTTCATTCTCACTGGTTACACATCAATCACTCACTCGCTCGCTATTTTTTCAACCTCTTTACCGTCAATATAGGCAAGGCCAAAGTAGAAATGTTCCATCAGGTTGGAGTGAGCCACGATCATATCAAAGACGTCTCCTCCTCTGGATTTCAACTCACACTTGACCATGATGCTCTGACCGTTTGGCATTACTACACTCAGCTCTCTCTGAGTGGTTGGAGATTTCCCTTTCTTTGACTGTGAGAGGGAGAAGATTTAGGAACAGAATTAAATTAACAAAAAAAAAAAGGAAAATAAATAACTAGCTGTTCTGGCTTAGAAATTGGTTTCTGAATGTGTTTAGGGTGAGACAAAGGGTGTAGGGTGTGCAGACAGTGTAAATGGTTATAAAGTTCAAGACCTTCAAGAGTCAGAGAACAATGACTAAACTTCTTCTACTCACCACAATGGATCCAGGCAGCTCCAAGACAACCAGCGGCTCATCTAACATCCTAATAAACTCAGGACCCATATCCTGCAACAGAGGATGAGGCAAAATAAATATCAACTACCCCATTTATGGAAGCTGAGACCGGCCATGCTTGCACTGATTTTTTTTAATGCCGTTATTTCGAGAAAACAAGTTAATTATTTTATTTTTTTATCTTAAGATAATGATGATCAACCCACCATGACAAGAAAACAAAAGGTGTTTGCTTGTGATAAAATCAGTTTTCAAAATAAAACAAAAAACGATACACGTACACAGCCATTCTTGCCTTCCCCTTACGAAGTTTTTAATGAAACGTCATATAAGTTGATATTATATTATCATTTTAAATAACAAGATATAATAATTTAGCTCACCTTCATTTTCTTGTCACTCAGACTCATTGCGGACTCGAACTGTGGGATGGATCTTGAGTTGGCGTTTCGATTGCCATCTATGTACGGACTGCAGGGGTTGCGGTTCAGCTGCTGCCAGCTGCCGTAACTCTCCCTGTGTCGACCTCCTGAGGGAATCCTAGAAAAAATTAGTTTTCCATTCTCAGTGTGACAGGAAGCAAGATCTATCACTAGTGACACACCGGCTTAAAGAAACACATCACACGTTTCATGCCGGATGTTTCCTCTAGGGCTTTTGTCTTCAGAGCACTGTCTTTTTATGTCTGCTTTTGTCGTTGTTTTTTTTAGTAACTTATCAAACTTTACTTGGTTTGGTTTATGACCATGTATATTGTAAGGTGTGGTAAAATAAACTTCATACCCTGTAGGCTCGCATGGATTAGATGCTCCAGAGAACGTTCTAGAAATCTTCTTCTTCAGCGCCCATGTTGAGTTGCTAAAAGAGCCTCCTGAAAAACAAATTGGTATGATTTCATGTTCACATGCTAATATTCAGCTCTCACATTTGGCAAGGTGAAACTGTCTAAAAGCAGTGGTTTGACATTTTGGAAAATACATTTATTCTCTTTCTTGCTGAGAGTTAGATGAGAAGATGTATTGATACCACTCTCATGTCTGTTCATCAAATAGGAAGATACTGCCAGCAGCCGTTAGCTTAGCTCAGCACAATGACTGCAAACGGGGAAACAGATGGCTCCGTTCAAAGGTGAAGAAATTATGGCTCACAAAATATTATACAATTTTTAAAATCAGTACAAACATTTAAACGTGTAAATTAGTGAGCTTTACAGGAGCTGGTAGTTGGCTTTTGTAAGCTATAGACAGAGCCGGGCTAGCTGTTTCCCTGCCTTCAAGTCTTGGTTTATGCCATACAGCCAGTAGGTGGTTAGCTTAGCACAAAGACTGAAACCAGGGGAAGACAGGTTAGATCTGCCTATAAGAACATCTGAAGCTACTATAATTTACAATATAACTACAATATTTTATCAAATATTGAACACAGCCTTTTTCCTGTCTTTATGTTAAGCTAAGCTAATGAGTTGCTTGTGGTAGCTTCAAATTTAGCATACAGACGAGACATGAGAGTTGTATCGATCTCCTCGTCGAACCCTCAGCAAGAAAGTGAATGACATTTTCCTAAATGACAAACTACTGTTTTAAAGTCCAACTGAAATCATTGTCAAATTTTTTATGTGTTGATGTGTATGCTGCAGCAGACAAAACATGCAATTCCCTTTCAATTGGACTTTAAATCTGTCAAAAGGGATCATTTTACTTACTGTGTAATCTATCCCTGACCATTTGACTGCGGTCTGTTAGCTGGGATCCATTTTCAGCCATGGACACATGATCAACCTGCAAAGACATCACTGTCCAGCTCAAGGAAACAGTCAGAGAGTTGGTGCTATCAGTAAGCACAACAACAAAAGGAACTCAACTAAAACTATTCACAACCAAACCATGACCTCACCTGACAAGCTAAAAACCAAACCAGTCAAACACTCACTGAGTTTCTGTAGACATCTTCCACCAGCTGCCTGACGAGCTGTTCGGCAGGAGGCATCATCGAGGCCTTGTGGTGAAGCTCGCAGGACTCCAGCACCGGCAGCAGATTGGTTCGTCTAACCACCATGTCCTCGCACATGCTCAGCAGCAAACCCTCCAGCTCTGCACTCAGCTGGACCGGCTGGGAGGAAACAGGTGTTACACAAAGTGGATGATGCTCAAGTACTAAGAATATGGAAGATTGCGTTTCGGCAAGAGCTAGAAGAGGAGGGAAGTACCTGGTTTTGAGGTAGATGATAATCAACGCACCAATAAAGAGTCATCCCCAGTGAGTACACAACCATCTGAGGACACAAGAACGAGGAAATGATTCAGACATTCATTTCTGCCCTTTTAAAACACTTTCTCTCACTTGTGTGCTCTTAAAACAAAGCAATTTCTCCATGTAAGCCCTTATATTATGACCCCCGGGTTTAAAACCACTCGTCTACTTGTACAACCTTTTCAGCGGCTGTCCTGGTGGAGGCAGCGTGACCCTGCTGGACCTCAGGAGCTGTGAAGGAGGCCACGTCTTCGTATCTGGCACAGCTTTTAAAGGCCAGACTCCCATTGGCTGACAGTAGCACCGAGCCTGGGCTCAGCACACTGCACATGTTGCCTGAACCTAAACAGAGAGCGGGAACTGAAACTGGTGACATTTACCAACTCGAAGGGTTTGATCACGTTCTCTTGTGTTATTTATTGTTTCAAAATGAGGAAACTCTGCCTGAGGAAAGAGCCCTGCACCCAGATAACAGGTGGAATATGGAGGATATTGGAGCTGAAGTGGTTACCTTTTCTGGAAATGTCCAGTAAGGCCTCAGTGGTGGCAAGCAGCAGACACCAGACCTCATCCTCATCCAGTGGTGAACCCCGGGCTTCCAGCACCTCTGCCAGGGTCACAAATGTACCCATCCTGCTGGGATACACACACACAACATACACACACACTCAAGCCACAGACTGAAAGAGTGTACTGCTGAATTATGCATGAGAAAACGGTTATGTGCTCCTGTACTGTACATTTGTTGCAGTGTCAGAAGTCGATATTTAAATGGAAGCATTAAGCATCTGAGAGGTTTTGAGTCAATAAACATTTAAAGTCTCCTCAGAAATATGTTTTTTTCTTGTTCGTACAGTTGGATGTTTGAGCGTCGCTGTGCAGAATGATGTATGTGCGGAGTTTGACACTAGAAGGATGTTTTCACATTCATCTGCTGAAAGTGGAAAGTTTCTCTGAGCTCACTGAAAATCAGATTTTAAGGGGCGGGGCCTACGAGCATGATTTGTGACATCATAAATAGTCTAGAAGTCAAATCTGGTTTAGTATGCAACTTATACAAGTGTGATATAAAAACCTGAAGCCACAAGTGCCCAAACACTGAGAACGGACTTTACAGTGAAGTAGGAGACATCTTAAGAAATGAACACATTTTGCATATTCATAGATTATGTAATTATTAATGAGGTAGATTTTAATGTGGAAATTATACTTTTTTGTGGAAAAAATCTGACACACATTATGGTCCCAAGCAGACTATTTGTATATATGTCTTAACATGTAGAATGTTAGAATAAATATTTGCTTTTAGGCAAGGTGTTCTAGAAAAAAGACACTAGTTGGAAGACATATGTAATCTAACTTTTTTTGTGGCATAGAGATAATAAATTAGAAAGGCATGAGGAGAGAAAATACTACATAATGGCAGCTCCAGAACAACCCCCCCCCCATCTTAGAATTTGAGGCACAATTTTTGACACAAAAATCTACGACAATGTGGTAAAGTACAGGAGTTGTGGCAAGTGGAAACAAACAGGATGAAAGACCTCGTGGACTAGAATCCCACCTAGAAGTACGTCACAAACAATGAACGTTGAGGGGTCAGAGGTCGGAGTTTGAGACGGACAAGCTCAGGGTTAAGTGGAATTAGATCTAATTGAAAACACAAATCCAACACGTCTGTTTATTGCTTTCATACTTTTCCTATCAAAATAAAGTGGTTTCCACTGACCACATCACATAAAAACGTGCAGTATGTCGCAACAGCTTAATGACAAACCGCCAAAGCTGCAGTTTTAGTTTTCCAAAGCTTGAGAAATATTAAACAAAATACATTTGTATGTTTTTGTTTGTTAAATTTGATTTTTTCAATATACTGTATTATCTTGTACCAATTCAGTCTGTACATTTGAGCCTGGTGTTGAGCAGTTTTAAAGCACTTATGTGCTTACGTCGAAGGATTTCTGAAATGGTAAATTACCTTGAGAAGCTTCTGGTAATTGAAAATATCCGGTATACTTATGACAACACATTGCTAAGGGGAGACCAAGCACAAAGCATACGCATTATACATTTCATCTTATGAATTAGAAGAGAACAACTGAGGAGAAAAACATGTTCTTATAGTTACCATTGAATATCTTACTATAGTATTTTTTTATTTGTACTCTTAGATACTACATAAATCAGTTTGAAGAGCACTGTGACATCAGTCATTTAACAAGGAAACAACATAAGGTTGTTATGAATCTTATGTAGGATTTATTAAGAGAAGCTCTTAAGAAGAACTCTTGAGCCCATTGCCATATCCATTACAGCTGATCCAGGGCATTTGGGGAGGGTGCACATAAATGAATGCTGTGAGGACATTGTAGCACCTCGCTGATCCTTGTAATTCTCTGCAAGTACTCATTAAAATAGAGGACATTTTTAATAGCTAGATTGCACCTTAACTTGGCAGGTCAGGAGCACGTAGAGTCTGCAGGCTGTACCGCAGTAATGGTGACATTATGTGTAGGATCGCGCTATTGCACAAAACAGGAAAAAGAGCAAACTGAGCTAACTCTTCCATAAAGGTGGATGGAAGATGGTGGACAAAATGTAGACCCGACACATCTTTTCTCTCCAGGAATGACAGAGAGAAAACTTTTGTCTGGAGATATTTTTGCCATTGTGGTATTAATTAGTTACGACTAACAACGCCACTGGCATGAGATAATGGCTACAGTGAATAACCAGATTAACATAACACTCTGGGGTATTAACATGGTTCCCAGTAACTTGAGTTTTTCATTATTTGTTTGACAATGAGATTAACGACCGGATGTTGGTGTGGTAGCTTCCAGGAAGCATTTTACCATAATCATCTTATTCCGTCTCATATTAGATCATACGAGGAGGAAAACAGAGATCGTTGTTTATTGTTTTCCACCTTGATGTACTATTCTAACTGCTGCTGGAGGCATTTGTGCAGCACTTTGCATCCATTTCACTCTGTGACCTTTCTGACACACAAACAGAATTAAAACAGTGACAGAAAGCAGACATGCTTACATGTCAGGTGACATGATAGATTTCCACGTTACGCAGGTCTGTTAATCAGGTTATGTGTACTCTGATTCAATTCAACCAAGGTAACCTGAGCAGAGGTGTTGCACGGTGGCCGCAACAATCAGTACAGGCCTTTTTTCACAGCGGACATTTTGAGTTGTCATAGCAGGAAAAGCTCAGGTTGCTTTGTTCTGTTTAACGTCCCAGTAAGTCAGTGCAGTGCAGTGAGCCAGCATGTGCAATACCAGGACCCTGAGACTGAAGCAGCTAAATGGAATTTGGCCATTCATTTAATAATTTACAACTGTATTTTTTCTACAGGGACATCATTATCATTATTTTTATGCTTTTTTTCAAAATCACATATGTTCATGGAAATACTAGTAATTATACCAAAGTATAACAGTTAATTTGATAATAATGAAACAGCCTTTCACATTATAAAAACTGATTTATCCAGAGGAACCTGCTCGAGCACACAGGCTCCTTTTCAGCAACATCCTACTTCCAACTTCCTCCGTGTGAGTTGGAGTAAACGGTTTGTCGCTTTGCACAGGGGCACCTTTAGTCTCGTTCACTTTTACATTGTCGAGCCCAGGTAGAAATGGTGTTGTTACAGCAGCAGCATATATAAAGAATCCTGTCGCTCATGATCCAGACAGCGACACACAGGCCTACAGGTGGTTTCTGACTAACATTGAGACTAAAACCATTATAACCTGGTTTTGACACATTATGTGGCCTACCTTATTTCATCCAGTATCTGAAGAGATTCTTCTTAAGTTCCTTCAGACATCCACCACTCTGAACCTAATCCTCCTTCCTCTTATGCATCCCCTGCTGCCATTCCACCCACCTCTCCCTCGTCCGAGCGCTGCACACCCTCATCTCCTCTTGACAACTCAATTGTCTCCACAGAAAGGACACATCAACTCCATAACATAATTTGCTCTGCGCTCACAACTAATGACGTCTTGTTTCTGCGTTTTCCCTCATTTTCAACTATTTTTAGACTAGGTAGCATAAGAACATAATTGGATTTGCAGGGCAAGCTAACGGCAGATGGGGCAGCAAAGGACCAATCCATTGCAGGCGGCACTGTGTTAATCTGATGTTTCAACCACAAGTGACACATTAATTGTCCCACTTTCTATTAGTTTACGAGATTACATAGACTGACACACAGTTGATTGGCCAGTGCACATGGCCTTGGTGAGTAACCAGATGTCATGGAACATACAGGTTTTTATTAGGTTATACATCCTTCCACTTGGCCTGCTGCTTGAAAAAGCATTCAGAATGTTACTTCATTAAGGTGAGAAAGAACATGATGAGAAATACAAAAATAATTGATCAAAGTAAAATTAAAAAATACCATATTAAATTAAAATATATTACATATTTTAGGACTCATTTATCACTATTTACTGAATATAGTTTGTGTACTTATTTGTTTGTTTTTAGTAGCATAAAGACAACTATAACTTGTATTTTATTATACAACAATGTGTTGTAAAATGACTAATAAAATAACCATGTAACCATGTAAATGTGACATGTGATCAAGCACTAATGGTAAATGTACTATTCTGGAGAATGTATGATGTTATGTAACATATAACATATAGGTCAAATAGGTGAGTACAACTAGGTCATACATCTATGTAAAATATGAAAAAATATACAAAAAAACAAGTACAATTGTCAGATGAAAAAGTGACCTTTGACCCTTGAAATGTAATGGAGGGTCCTCGAATATTACCGTATGACAGTCTTAAGGGGTGCTGTTCCTGCTTTTTTTTTTTTTTACTGTTTAGTGTGTAAACTATGTGCTAATTATTTGCAATTTAAATGTGTATTCATGCCACCACATCATCAGAGAGGACTTGTAACTGAGTCAGGGTCTATGTCTCTGCCCTTTGCAGCCAAAGGAATGAAGCACCATAATTAACACACTGACCTGGGGAAGATATGTCAAGGTGATGGCTTCGTGTGACCGCCTGACACTGACATAAGCTTTCTTAAGTGTCAAATTTGACACCTGTGATAATAGTTAAACAAGCAAACTCTGGTATGCTTCTGTGGTTACTGAATACTCAAAAACACAAAACTATCAGCAGGACAGCGTTGATTACATGACTAAAGTAAAAGTCCGGCGTCCTTTAACAACCCATTTGATAAGCTTTTCAAATGTTTTTTAAAGTAAAATCTTAATCTAGGAAAACTATAGCTGTCAGATAAATGTAGTGCCCCAGAATACAGTATAAAGTACCATCAAATAGAAATCCTCAAGTACCTCTATTGCCTAATTGTAATGAGTGAATGTGCCTAGTTACTCTCCACCACTGTGAAAATTCAGGAGCCCTACATTTAAAGTTAAATCACAATATTAACAAGTCTTATATATTTTAAGTGGTCCAGATGCTTTAGATAAGATAATCATGAATAAAGGCCAGCACGGACACAACTGTTTTGATTTATGTGTACATTTATGTCTTCTGACATGAATAAAGTTGGCTGATTTCACTAACAGTTCTTATGTTTTGTGCTCCTTTAAGAACAGTGTCTGTGCTGATCATTGTGTTTGAAATATGGCAACCCTTGATGATTATTGTAGCTGACATTGCAGTGCAAAAATGTTGCTAATCTACACTCAGTTTCCAGTTTATAAGGTAAAACTACTGCAGTCTAATACAACAGCCCTGCAATAAATACCCGCATGGGTTGTACTGTTTTTGTTTTAGTGAGGTGTTGATTCAATTTTATGGTCATTTCGGCAACTAAAATGATTGTGCTGTTGAACTATGCCACATTATACTGCGAGACGTTTTCTCGTGTTGTCCACCCCATGTATATCAATCAGGGTAGACCAAATATTAGAAACACCTCTCAGAATAATGCAACACAATTCAGCTGCATTTCAAACAAGAGCCTCTAAAATGTCCATAAAGTTGAAATCAACACCTCTCCGAAACCATTTCAACCAAAACTGAATGTTTAAAACCTTCATGGCGGTAGAATTTACCGCTCGATTGTTGTACTAAAGTGCATTTTTGCCAACAGTAATGTTTAAATCTAGCAAGTGAGTGTCCATGCACTCTGATTTTTCACTTATATTTCTATTTTGTATTCTATTTTTCTAAGTTGTTGGCAACATGAGCCAATAACTTATAAAAATCAATATAAAAATGTGAAAATGTGTTAGGTAGTGCCTAAATAGAAACAAATAAGCTACACCTTTAATGCTACCCCAGTTGCAAAAATGGTTTATAAAACGTTTATGTATGGTAATTATGTGTGTATTGTATATATACATCAGAATTTTTTGAAAATACACCTATATGTATACTTTCCTGTTGTGTGCAGCGTCATTTCGAAACGTTGCGAAACCGTCGCTTCCGCTTTCCCGGAGCGGCTGCCGGGAACGCGCAGGCGGTCTTGAACGTGCCCCCGGTCCTCATTGTGCAGCCGAGGAAACATCGCAAGGTTTCGACGACGTTGGTATGAAATGGCAGAAAGTGCTTGTGTCGCGGAAGCACAAAGATTAGGTTGCGTTGAGGCTACACATGTCTTCTGCAATGATCCTGGCCTGCTAGTGTGAGGGAAACGGGAGCGTATCCGAAGGGAAAAAGGGATTAAAGAGCTGTTTTACTCTGAAAAAAAAAAAAAAAAACAACAAAAAAAAAAAACCGTCCGGGGTTGTGTCTCTCCAGCAGGCAGCAAACGGCGACTGCGGGTCGACACTGTTGGAGTTAACCGGAGAGGGTGAGCTCGACATATGGGGTTTTTTTTCTACCTATGAGAAATGTATGACTTGTTATTGTGAACCATTGGCGGTGGGCAGACTAATGCTGGGACCCACACGTTACTGTAAATAGGTGTTACTACCATATACACAGTGAGCACCACAGCAGGCAGGACAGGTCTGGCCTAACTGGTAACAGGCAACCAGACTGAGTGGCTACACTGGGAAGCACACTACTGTAACCTATCCCTGTCAGTGCTACACACACATTAGCACTGCTCACACTGTACACTGTGAACCGGGTGGTGTCGCCAGTCATAGAACAAGTGAAAGGTTGGAGTAGAAAACGCTGTGACCTCCAGTCTGTGGTCACCTGAACACGCTAACGTCTTCCATGTAAACAGAAATGACTTGACGCCGTTGAATACACCCTGTTTTAGCTAACATCAGGTCGCTGATATTCGCCGCTGTGATATGATCTCATGCATATTTCTGTTAGGCAAACTAAATTCCTGCACTGTAAGCTGAGCATAGGTGGGTTTACACTGGGTATTATACTGTAGCAGCTTGTCTGTGCATTCAACAACAACACGGAGCAGATGGGATATCAATATTTGGCTATATGCAAGGCTGCAGTCTGGCTGGTTATGTGTTTTTATGTGATTTAGGTGATGTGTAAGTGGGCTTAAATGTAAAAGGTGAATGTGAATATTATTCCCTGGCAAGTTGCATAATGTTGCAGTTTGGTTTATCTTTGTTAGAGCAGTTAAATGGACATTCATCAGCTTCTATCTTTACAAGAAAGTAAAGATAGCTTATCAGGCCAGTGCATCAAATGTGAAGTTTTCTAATCTGTGAAATTATCAGTGATATTAATGTTCTGCTTTACTAGAAGTGTCTGATCAAAGGTGCGTTAGGGCTTGTGCGTGCATCCCTGCTTATGCTGTCTGTCTAACCTGTTCCTGAAGTCATGTTTGGGGTGATGTAGCTCCCAAAACTGCATTGCACATTGCTAGCGAGGTTTTCGAGACAACCTGCCAAGAGAACAGCAGTGGTCGGCCAAAAGCACCAAGACATCTGATTCCTGCACCAAAAGTGAAATGTAGCCTGCAGAGGTTAGATTATGAGTCCTGGCTAACACACAATAAGCTTGCATTCATATCTGGAGGAGCCATTGGTTGTGAATATTAGATCATTTAAATGTTCTCAGTGGTTTAGACACAGTGCTAACACAATCATGGTTGCTGCTCAAACTGAATGGACAGCATCCAAACTCAACTGACGGGGCAGTTTATAGGACACGCAGGTGAATACCATAGTTTTCTTTGTTAGGTGGAATGCTGCTTCTTCTGCCGTAACCTTGCGGCCAGGACCGGCTGCGTCACAAGTGAAACGACAGCGTGCCACAGTTCAAACAGTCACGGTTGAAGGCAAAGACAGTTTCCTTGAGAAAGCATCACCACTGTCTCGTGTCTCTGCACACATTTGTTCATATTCTTTTCTGCAAGATGTTACATTTCATTTGTGGTTTCTTTCACCTACAGTAGCTGTTCAAAGAAGAGTTTTACAGTTTACAGTTGATTATTTATAGGCTATTACAGTATGTATGATGATTTTCTTAAAGTGTACTGCTGGGCAATATGTTAGTTTTATCCTGATGTTTTTTTTTCATATCAGTCCATCATTTTCATACATATCACAGTATAAGTTCAGTCACTGTACCTATTGAGCTTAAATATTGCCTTAAAGCTCCAGTGGGTAACATTAAGGAGGCTCTATTGGCAGAAATTGAATACAATATTCCTAGATGTGTTTTCATTAGTATATGATCACCTGAAAATAAGAATAGTTGTGTTTTTGTTACCTGTAGAAAGAGCCGTTTTTATCTACAGAGGGAGCACAGGCCGCCATGTTGAACTGCCATGTTTTCTACAGTAGCCCACCTTTTTGTGACTTTCACGGCCACCGTAGCTTCTCCTACATGCTTGGAACGGGAGGGTGAGGCGAGGGTGTTGTAATCTGCCATCTAACTACACTGCTAGATGCCGCTGAATCCCACACACTGGGTCTTTCCATTTAAAATTCCCTCGTAGTAGATTCAGAACCTGAAAAGTGAGAAAGATGTTTTATATACAAATTGAATCAATAAATTAAATAATAGATAACACCATGTATAACATTCACAGCTGGTGTCGGTTATGTGCTTCAGTTAAATTTCGTGTTTGCGCATTGGCACCATTCCAACTGAAAGGCAACGGGTGGGGGTGTTTCTCTGAGAGCGCGCTCCAGAGGATGGGTGTATCTGCTGGAGTTTGAGACTGTGTGCTTTAACTCTGCATGGTTTATTGGATGATGTTGATTAAGGTGATAAAATTAGATTGCGGTATGTGTCGTCTTTGTCGGCATGGATTTTTGGCTTAGACAGGAAGAGTGTAACAGTTGCATCACTCGTGTGTCTGCTGTCGGACTTTAAGGAGCCTAACCCCGTTCGGGACTGTCTCATCCACCGCGTGGCCAAATGGGGCTTTAAGTCGCCAAAGTATTACCCCGCCACAAATGTGTTCGTACCTTGTGTAGCTTTGTTTCTGTGAAGGAATTGCTCCTTACTACATTGTCAAATGCACTACAGGTCTCTAGTGGCAACACAGGATAAACAGCGGATTTCTTGTTTTCTTCCTTCTGCGTTTTACTAACATTGATATTTTTTTGTAAGACGTTGGCAGTTTGTTAGATGACTGAAAATATTACATTTCATGATTAAGACATTAGCTAAGGTTGGATTATACAAAGTATACAAAGTTTAAATACCAGCAAACCATCCCTCCAGACAATCAGAGAGAAATGTGGCGCTTTCGCTTTTTTCTGGTACCAATGTTTGGCACAGAATGTGCCCGTATGAGCTGTTATCAGCAGCCCTTACTTTGGCTGAATGTGAGCAGCTCAGAGATAAAATCCAACTCTCCCAAATTACTGGCGGGCTCAATCTTGGTCGCCTAGATAACTCCAACCATGTTGATATTTGCAAGAATCTGAGCGGTAAAGGGAACAAGAACAGACCTGCAACAGCCAATGAGAGACAGATCAATTCCCAGGTGAGACGTGTGATGGACAGCTTCGAGGGAGAGACCAGGGCAAATCTGGACAGGACTTGCCGAGGCGAACGCGTGTTCACCTGTACAAAGGCCATATCTGACACTTTTTGACACAGTTATCTGTTGTTTGCTGTCCGACTGTCAGAGACATTATTTCCTGGCAATAACTGTGGCTGCTGTGTTGGGTGGGAAATCTCTAATAAAGCTGCAACTTTGATGTGCATATACGTTTAGATTATAGAATCATTATCAGATCAGATCATTATCAATAGATCTGAATGAGTGTTGACCCATAAAGGTTGACGTTGACGTCATGTGGTCAGGTTAATGTAGTCGTAGACCTGTCTTTTGTTTTGTTGTATCCATTTATAAAACAGAACCCACTTGATCATTTATCTGTGTGCAACCCTGACTGTATAGCATTGTGTAATTTGGGGGGGGGGGTCACACATTTAGAATCCTCCACTTCCTAACAGTTGAATCGGGTTGACAGCCTGACACACACTGTCATATCGTTCAGCCCCATTTTCACATGCAGCCACAGATCCTCCAGTCTCGCAGTAACCCTGATGTGTGCTGTTCTGTCTTCAAATGGGAGAGAAAATCATGGAGCCTAACATCAGCTTAGACGCATTCTGCAACGATTTAATAGGCCTACCTGCCGCTGGTAGAACATGGCAGGAGCACACACGCTCTCTCTCTAATGTGTCCTATATTTGCTTTACTGAATGACATTTTCTGAAAAGCATGTTAGAACTGGCTTATATGTTATTTCTGGTCCCTTTGCAGCCAGATGCTTCTGGCAAATGAGGATGACATTTTTTTACTGCTGGCTTGATCAACAAAAAAAGGGTTGAAATCATGTCCTGTGAGGTGTGGGTACGTATAAAGCAGGAAGAGTTAATTAGAGCACCATAACTTTGTTATGTAAGAGCAAGCTGAATGATATTAGAATATAGGAACATGAGAACATTATATAACAAGGTTGTTATAGCAATCATAATGTGCAAATAATTCTTGTGTCTTTGCTATAGTTAAGAAGTTATGACATGTTTGGTCTAAATTATGCCTAAAAAGATCCATTGTTGCACTCCGCATTCAGCACATTAAAGTGAACTTCCTAGAGCTGCACATTTAATCGCAATGTTATTTAAATTGTAGTAGAATCATTTTTTGATAAAGGTAAAATGAAAATGAAACAGCATTATAATGAAATACTGTAGTGCTACACAGATGCCCTGGCCTACAAATGCTGTTCTCCAGATTTAAGAAAGCATGTATGTTTGATACATGTTAAACCAGTCAGTTTACTACAGTGACGTGGCACGGTTCCACCCATGCTGTTGTGCTAGTGTAATGTTTGTTATGTAGTGGTTAGGTTGGTGAAACCTGGTTAAATGGAGTGCAGGTGACATATGAGGTGGCTAGGTGGGAATATTCTTATAGCTCGTCTTGGCAAAGACACAACAGAACCCGTTCTGCTCGGATTCAGCCATGATGAGCTATGTCAAATATGTCTTCATTAGTCTGTACTACCTCAGATGCTGGGTGGTATTCTGTTCACACACACTGATCCGTTCAGATCTGCATAAGACGAGTGGTTGGGTTAAGGATGAAGTTGGGAGCAGCAGGTTAAGGTGAATCTCATAGTGCCATATGACAACGGCTGTCATCATCACAAGACAGATCCGAGTGAATGAATGTGTTTGTTTAAGAAGCTTTTGATTTTACTGACTGTGTCATACACTGTGTGTTTGCTGGAGTCGAGCCTTTTTGCCACTATGTCTCTTGCTTTAAGATGAGTTCAGACTCTTCTGTGAGCCTTCTATTCATCCCTGTACCTCTGCAGAGTGTGGCTCAGCTGCAGACGGTAGAGAGAAGATGATGTTATGATCAGAGTCAGGGAGAACAAGGCAAGGAGGAGAGGAGAGGAGACAGAGATGAGGAGAAGCAGAAAGGATTAAACAAGCAGGACAGAGGAGGAGACACAGAGGGAAGACGAGCTCGGTCTTCAATGTAAAGATTACTTTGGTGGCGTATTGATCCTGATTTCAGCCACTTTGGGAACTTGATTTGACTTCCTGACTATCTACAAAAACTTCTAAGATATGTCTTCTCATTAATTTGTGTATCTCCAGTGTTTCCTCTTGGATTTTTTTTAGCAGTGGGGGCAGGCCTGTCTGAACAACCCCCATCTGCTAATTGATCTTTAAATAGGGTTTGAATTGCCTTGGTCCTGACTTGGTTTCTGCTGTCTTCTGGTCTGAACCCGACTGAACCACATCTCCGATTTTGGGCTGTATTTAACTCAGGTGGTCTCGACTGCCGCCCTGCCAATAGAAAAGAAAGCACAGTGGAAGAAAAGAGAGTAGGTTTGAAGAACCGTGTACCCAAGAATAGGAAGAGGAGAGCAAGGAGAAAGAAAGGAAGGTGGGGGGTGGTGTCAGTAGTCTGAGAAATCCAGAGGTCAGGTCGTGGTCCGTGAAACGTACAGCTATCATCACAACGCCGACCTCCTCAGCTCGATGCTCCAAATTCCACTAATGATTCGTCGTCTTCAGAGCCAGCATGAAACCCAGCTTCCTGCTTCCTCTCCGTCTCTCTCTGCATGGCTCGTCACTCCATCGCCCAGACCTTTTGACGTTTTATATAGGAGTCATTATAATTGATGAACCTCACTTGAGGATTGGAAGCATGGCTGCTTTGAGCTTCTCATATCAAAGAATTATTTTCACTGTTGAATCAAGGTTTTTTTTTTTTTCTTAGGCTGACGGGGCAGTAAGATAAGATTTATACCGCCCCACTGCACACACGAACATATCTGCACGTCAGTGGGGTCGATCACTGCTGGTGACTCAACAGTTATTTAAAGAATAAATAAAACTTTACACAAGGTCCCCACATAATCCCAACCCTAGTAGTGCTTAATTAAATTAACAGAGTGTAGTGGTGAGGCAATAGGCTGTTTCTGAGCCAGGCGGCCTGCAGCGTTGGGTTTTCTGATGGGGCAGATCTACAGTAAGAGCAATTCATTAGCACTTCCTCAAAGTCTCATTGGCTGTTGGCCTAAACAGTGGCTTTGATGCTGGTACCTGGTGGTTTGCCCACCATGTTAAATGGTTCCACCCAAAGTACCTGGAACCTTTCTTCCCAGCCTCTGTGTTTCCATCGCATTCTTAGGACCCGCAAAGATTTGGCAAATTAGTTCACTGACTTGTGAAAAAGTAACGTCTTTGTGCTCAACTATACAAAAACGTTGAACAACAAGTGTCGTCGGTTCATTGGTTGTATGCCTTTTTTTCCCTTAACTCCATGTTGATGTGTCAATTAACGTCACAATTAACAAAAAACAAACTGGTTTGCGGCTGGTTTTAAAAATGGTGGCTGAAATAAAGTAATACGTAATAAAGTACTACCCCCCTGATCAGGGACTTTTTTGGAGGTAAAATTATGTCCCCTAATTTAGACCGTGGTCCCTGCGGTGGAAACAAAGAGTTCCTCCAAAGGTTCCTAGTCCCAGAGGGAAAGTTCCTGCGGTGTAGACACTGCTAAATATTGGGTTCGACACTGAACATTTGTTCCAAAATTCAATGATTCATTTGAAAAAAGTTACCTTATATAATCATCTTATATAATGCTTGATGAAATAAACAATGAAAGATATTATCCTACATTGACAAGTAGTGGTTCAGTGTGAATGTTTTGGCTGCTGGAAGGAAGAACGTGTGAAATCAAAGGTTGAAAACGGATGGGGGGAAAAAAATGACAAGCTTTCTTTCTCTTTACGCACTGCAGGTCTTGAAAGGAGAGCTCCACTTGGATGCCCAGTCACAGCGTTTGTCCAAGGCTTCACCATGAACCGGAACAAGCGTGAAAAGGAGTACTACAGTATAGATGTGGGCGATTCAACTTTTATGGTTTTAAAGCGCTACCAGAACCTCAGACCCATCGGATCCGGAGCACAGGGAATCGTCTGGTGAGTCAGAGGAAAATAAAAAATGGAATATTTCAAAAATGTAAAAAATTTGACAAGATAAACTCAACTGAAGGTCCATTCGATCAGCCTTTTGTGAAGTTTTCAACTGTAGCTCATGGTCTTTGTGTGTGGATGGTGTTTGCTTATCACTTCGACGTACTTATGTGTGTCACACAAACCAGTGTTTTTACATTGTTTTCATGATAGGTCATAGTCACACTATTTAAAGAAAAATTTACATATAACAAATATTACTCATGTTTCATCTTTAATCAATGAATTGCCCTTTTCACATCTTATTTTTTTTAAGTTTGAATGCTCAAAACATGATTAGAAATGAGTGATCAGTGATAAATGAAATGGGTAATTCCACATCCTTATGTACAGCAGTGTGTTCTGAGCCTTGTGGATCATGTGTCTGAAGTGTTCATCAATTTCTCAGTCAGAAACTGCAGAATTGAACTTTGGCGCTCAGCTTTTGCCAGCTGTCGGCTCAGATGTTGTAACATCAGCATAAGTTGCATACACAGAAACTGACTCATAACCGTAGTGTTTGTTGACAGTACAGTATGGTTTTTTGTTCCCTGAGGATTTCTGTAGACACGAGAGGATTAGAGGGAGGGTGAGTGCTGAAATACGTTTGAATCCGAAACCCAGCATCACTCAGGTCCATGTCGTGGTTAGTTCCCGTAAAAACGATACTCTATCATATCAACAGTTTGTGCCAGGATGGCCTTGTTTACATATCCATCATTCCAGTGGTTGATGGATTGGACCATCACATTTTTAATCAATGGCCAAAAGGTGGAGTCCAAAGTAATCCAGTTCCAGTTCTTGTAACACAAGCTAAGCATGATGAACTCATCTAAGTTCTTTGCTGTCATTAATCTTCTGTGGTCCTCATACCAGGTAGGAAAGGCAAGAAACTGATGCGCATGGGCATCAGTCAAGGCTTCATTTTGTTATGTGAGGAATTGCTGGTGCTATTGCTCAAATATCAACAGCTGTCGTGCTTCTCTTACACTGGCTTTACCTCTGAGGGATCCGCAAGATTTTTGTAAAATCCTTTTTAACCCCAAATTAGTCTGAGTTTCATCACATCAGAGAGCTGTCTGTCCAGACGTCTGTTGTAACAGTGTTTTTAAACAGGAGCATGTGCTGAGTGACCAACTCTAGTTTGTCCATTTAGGTGAATGAGGCGGACGAAATATTATAAACACCCTTATAATTGAGTCCAATACAACAACACCATAAAGTACAGCCTCAGAACGTGCCATGGAATTGAGTCAACAGACAACAAACTTAAAGCTACTATAACCCATATATTTATATGAACAATTGCCCAAATGTTGCATGTATGTGAGAGAGGTCACTTTTACTGATGAACCATCTACGGCTCATAACTAAAATGTTTTTTACAGTTATAATGCTCTACCTGCTCAGCACCCAACAACAGACAGACTGTTGAACATAGTGGAGTATTGAGCAGCTAAAGAGCCACATATTAAACATATAAAGCACTAACTATAGGCCGATGGTGACTCTGACCAACAGACCTGAGACCAAATGCAAAGAAACACACATACTTTAAATAACCACACACAGTAGTTTTCTAGCTAATGATAACTTCCTATTCAGAACCATGGACATGTTGTCAGCTTAAATAACTAACTGTAGCACGTTGAACAGATTAAAAACCTGCAAGTCTCAAGCTGTATTAGTTCCTCAATGATGTGGTGCTTATTCTCCAATACGGCTGCAGAAAAACAACTACCTGTCCTTAACTTGTAAGCATACGTTTGTTTACATTGGTTAACATTTTTGGATATAACTCTAAATATACTTTTTCTCCCTTTCAACAAGGAAAATATGAAAAATGCATTTTAACATCATTTTTACATGATTTTAGATTGCAAACTGTTAACAAATTCAGTTGGACTGTAAGTAGTACCCTAAAAAGTATTTTTTGGGGTCTTTTTATTGCCTTTATTTGATAGGTCAGCTGAAGACAGACAGGAAAGGGGGGCAGAGAGAGAGGGGGGATGACACGCAGCAAAGGGCCACAGGTCAGATTCGAACCCTGGGCCGCTGCAGCAAGGACTCAGCCTCGGTACATGGGTCGCCAGCTCTACCTAAAAATTCACCATTTTAAAGCCCTTGCATGTAGGAATGAAACATTTCTGACTTTGTGAACTCTTAGTGCAAGAATAAAAAAGACACTGTGGTGCCGCCTCTTTGACTGAATTGGCCCAAACATGTTCGATGAGAGTACAACTTGTGATTTCATCTTCAACATTGCAAACACCCACTGGAAGAGAGTGCAAAGGTTTAAAATATCAGTACCCTCAGGCTTCTTGACTCATACTATTGTTGTATATAGTGTGTATATATACGTTTTTGCTTTCACTACCACAGTTCAGCGTATGACCACAACTTGGAGAGGAACGTCGCCATCAAGAAGCTGAGCCGGCCCTTTCAGAATCAAACTCACGCAAAACGCGCCTACAGAGAACTGGTGCTCATGAAATGTGTCAACCACAAGAACGTAAGAGCTTTCTGTTTTCTTAGCGTGTTTGTTATGTTTCTGTAGATCATATTTTACCATCAGGGACGGTAGATTTTGAGCTGTGACACACTTAGTGTCTTTCTGTGTGCTTCCTGTGGATACAGGTTTACGCCCGTGTTTAAACAAAAAGGTTGTTTCAGAGTTGAAATCAGTGAAGAAGTAACAAGCATGTGGGAGCAGTGAGTTCTCAGTAGACACAATGTTTAGTCTCTAAATTGGCTTGAACATCATTCTTGCCCTTGCACCTCCACTGTAATTGTGCTGCATCAGGCTGTATTGCAAATGATGAAATATTGATGTGGTTCAGAATAATGTAAAGTAATAACTTGTGACATTTTCATAGAAATAACCCAACGCTTAATTTCCCCTCCGGACTCGCAGAGTAATAACTGTGTGTTTTTATTTTTCGGCAGATTATCGGCCTATTAAATGTATTCACACCACAGAAGACACTGGAAGAATTCCAAGATGTGTGAGTAATACGGAGCCGAATAACATCTGCTCACTGTGTGTTTGTCAGATCAATATAGGGATGTAGCATGCTGGGGGCTTGGATTATCTTTTCTTATTTTAAAGGGGCTTGTGGTTAGTGTGTTATCCTGTGTCATTACAAGTACATAGTACGAGGAGATGTATTTCAAGGAATACCTATCATGATGATGCCTGTAATGTAAGTGGACATGTTTAATGTTTAAGACACTAGCTTCAGTCAGTGGATTATCAGGTGGAAGTGTTTCATCTGAAAATAACTATGAACACTGACTAAAGTCATAGTGAGATTCAAATTTGACATCATGGGTCAGGTAAAACACACATGTCTTCAGCATACAAACTACCAAATCACTCCCTGGTGGTTCTGCTCCGGCTTTTATAAATTCTGCGTTTGGGTGGACTCTGGCTTTTAATAGGATCAACACTGGGGCATATTCGGCAGGATGTGTTTCGAAGCCGACAAGACGCCCATGCGAGTGGAAACTGGCTGTGGAATCGCAGGGAGTGGAATACTAGACTGAGATGTGGGGGAAGTGATGGTTTCGCAGAGTACGACGGGAACAAACATGATTAATGCCATCCTCTAGAAGCTCTGTGTGTGTGTGTGTGTGTGTGTGTGTGTGTGTGTGTGTGTGTGTCTGCAGTGCTGTGTCTGCCTGATTGGAGCTAAAAAGGAAACTGGACAAATCATAGCCAGAGGGTTGCGGGGCGAACACACAGTTAGAGGATGGAGGATGAACACTCCATTTGCCTGTTTGTGTACCTGAATGCATACTTGTATTACAGTGCATTAAAACATTTCTAAAAAATATGGATTTCAGTGTAAACAAATGTCAACCTTGCACAAAAACATTCAGTGACAATGAATTATACCTATTTTCAGTTTTAGTATACATTGTATTAAAACATGGAGTGTAAAAAAAATATCACCCAGTCCTACTTTTAAAATGACTTTTAAAGCTGCCTGCTCTGTCACCAAGATGTTTCTTTTTGGTATAAAAATCTGTCAGAACATCCGTACTCCATGTAGGAGGATTGTAGGGACTGATGATGTAACAGCTGCCAGATAGCATAACATCATCACTATTTTGTGAAGTAGAACCCTTACTGTCACTCCCTAAATGCCACGGAAAGCAAGTGCTGCGTGGGTGAGGAAATGGGAGCTCAAGATGTAGTTTTACATTTATTGTTACTTGTAGTTAATAGCTTGATGATATAGGTCATAGTTTTCTTTCTTGAGTAACCAAGAAAGTTAAGCCAACCCACAGCAACATGTGGGCAGGTTCATGTAAAGTACCAACTTATGAAAACTCTGTATGTCCGCCTGTCTGCGTGCGTCCCTGCGTGATCATTTTCCCCTCTGTGGTTTCCCTGCAGGTATCTAGTGATGGAGCTGATGGATGCCAACCTCTGCCAGGTGATTCAGATGGAGCTGGACCATGAGAGACTCTCCTACCTGCTCTACCAGATGCTGTGTGGAATCAAACACCTGCACTCTGCTGGCATCATACACAGGGTGAGGCCGACATACCCGCAAAACAGTTTGCATCAGCTCAAGATAAAAAGGCACACATTGTAAATTGTAGTCACACATGAACAAAGTGAAATAGAGCTGTAAATTAACATTTTATGACTCAGCAGCCCCGCATCTCTCAGCATCAGAAGTTCAGAGGAATCAGCAATGACAAGGCTGCCAACATTGATTATGTTAATGAGATTCAGCAAAATGTTCTAACGTGGTTGGCAGCCATTAGCCAGAAAAATATGGCATTGAAAAACCTGTGTAAGCCAAGTGAGCAGCAGCAAACGGATCATGTATAATGTTTCCAGCTTTTAAAAGTTTGAAGTTTGGAGTACAGAATAGTACAACATTTTGGGAAATACACTTACTTGCTGAGAGTAAGAGGAGAAAATTGCGCGGTGGTCCAAAACCCTATAATCTGTCATTTTTTTGTACAACACAAGTACTGAGCGGTAGGTCTTGGGCGAACAGATTGTATAGGTATCTCCGAGTGCACAAATGTGACTCTATTTGTCGTAATTCTACTTTTAGAATCTACTTTTTTAACTCTGTAAATGGTTATATCTTGAAATGTGATACAGCAGCGTTTGCTTTGTAATGCATTTTAAGAATAAAATGGAAAGGAGGCTGTGATGCACAGGGTTAACGAGCTCCGGTAATCTGATGTCTCCCTCATGAACAGGCAGGATGCCGAGTTAGAACCGGACAGTGTGATGTGTGTAAAAGTGTATGTGTGGTTGTTTGTAGCAGCCTGGTGTCATTTTCAGGTGATTTAATGAAGGTAAACATAGTTGAAGGTCGGGCATAATGATGCTGCGCTCTTCTCCAATCAGAGGCTGCAAATTCATCAACATATCTGTCCTGCTACCTTTAGATGGCTGCTGGGACTTAATGGACTGAAGGAGAAGCTTTTCATACAGTATGAAGCAGCTGTAAGAGCCACTCATAGCCATTGATAGTAGAAGGCAGACTGGTTTATTGACATTCCTCCCACATTAAATGCTAACTAGCTAACTAGCTGGAGCTTGTCCTTAGATCTGTTTATTGAGGCTTTAAACATTATTCCGTTATTGCTGCGCACTGTCCGAGATTTGTGGCAAAGTGGCTGCAGATGAGATGTCTATCCACGGCACATCTAAGACACACCAAAATACCAACAGCTCTCTTCCTGCTGACTCATTTTTGCACCTCTCCTCTCACCTGTGCACCCCGAGCACCAGAATACCAAGGGCAGAGCCAGTTTCAAGGTCAGGAAAAGTGCTGCCTGCTCTTGCTGTTGATCTGCCACAAAATATGGCCCATAACATATTAATTGGTGAGCTTTAGAGGTGCTGGTTGCTGGTTGGTTACTCTCAAGACAGGACACCCCCTCCCCCACTTAGTGTCGTCTGCATACTAAACCAAGCTAACCGGCTGCTGGTGGTAGCTTCATATTTACAGTATAGACATGAGTGTAGGATCAGTCTACCTCTCAGAATGATGGAGAACTATTCCTTTCAAATTCGGGAGTTGGCAGACTCTCATTTCATTTCCATTCACTGACACTTTATGTATGAAATTGCCAGATAACACAGCCGAACATAAACAGGGCATTATGCAGCATAGATGATGTACAGGTTGCGGTAAACGCACACATACACACTCAGGTGCTTGTTCACGTTGAAACAACAGACACAGGATATAGCAGCGGTATACAAAGGATCCCTCATGTATCCGCACACACACACAGAGAGTGACGGCACTCTGTCAATCACCCTCAGTGAAAGACGCAGCAGTAGATGAGCGGAGCCCCTCTTGCTCTGCCAGCCAGAACTAATTGAGCCACAGGCGGAGCTAACCAGCCCCGCTCGCATCAGCACGTCTCGGCACGCAAAGCTTTCATAAGGTGAACAGATGCAATATGAGTCATGGATCGCCAAAGATTCTCTTGTTCTCGTGGGCTCTGTCTCTGTGATGAGAGCTCTCTAGTCCTTTTTAAGATGCTCAGAGCCGCTGAGCACTCTCTCTACAATACACTGTCCTACCTCTCAGGGCAGTTGAGCACAATGAATTGTGCTTTAGCCCTACAGTCCAATGGCCCCATTGTTAAGAAGCAGTGATAGTGATTATGATCATGAAGATTTGTTACCTGCAATGCATTTAAGATGTTGATGTTAGTTAATTAGTGTTGTCTTGTTGACTAGTGAGCAGCACCCTTGATGGCAGTAGAAGTCTCCAAACTAGGAGGTGGTTATGACAGACGATGATGATTGGTATGAAATGACAGATGAAGTAAATGGACCTGTACTTGTATAGTGCCTTTCTGGTCTCCCGACCACTCAAAGCGCTTTTACACTACGTGAGACATTCACCCTTTCATACACATTCACACACTGATGCATGGCATCGGGAGCAATTTGGGGTTCGGTATCTTGCTCAAGGATACTTCGACATGTGGCACGACCCGCTCTGCCTCTGAGCCACAGCCACCCCAAGTAGTAGTAGCCAATTTTTTATGTAAATTACGCCGAATGCCAACTAGTCAACTTGTCAGGGCTGACAAATTAGTTTTTGGTACAAATTAATTGGCATATGGCCATCAGTAAATTGTAGCCAGAGGCGATGAGTCTTGTTTATGACATGTCACATCACTGGATGGAAAGTTGGGAGATAATAAGTTCTTGTGTACACAGCGATGTTTTCTGGCATGAAAACACTGTCAGGGAGCTTTGATCAGGTGCTTTTACAATGAGAGAAAAACCCTTCCATGGCAACAAGATCTAGCTATTCGCTTTGAGTGAAAATAAGCATGCTGTGGTTGTGACAACAACTGTGGACAAAGCAGGTGGAAATACCGCTTTTCTACCTTTTACACTAGCCGCGTCAACTCCCTTCTCAGAGGTTTGGGTCCACTGTGTACGTGTGTTTGTAGGAGCTCAGGTACACCCGCGGCAAACAGGCGAGGAGAAAGACAGAGAAACTAGCACGACCATAAATGAGAGCAAAAACGTGGTAGAGAACTCTTTTCTTTTTCTTTTCCGTTTCTGTAGTTTCTGTTTCAGCTGTGTTATCTGGTGTTTTCATATATTACTAAAGTGTCAATAAATGGAACTGAAATGAGATTCTGCCAACTCCCAAATTTGAAAGGAATAGTTCTCCATCTTTCAGAGAGTTAGATGAGAAGACTGATAATACCCATGTGTCTGTACGGTAAATATGAAGCTACCATCAGCAGCTGGTTAGCTTAGTATGGTATAAAGACAGCAGTAAGGGGGAGAAAAGCTTGCCTGGTTCTGTCTGAGGGTAACAGAACCTGCCAACCAGCACCTCTAAAGCTGTCTGACATATCATACAGGACAGACACACACGATCAGAACAAGCTTCTCCTCCATTTTATTGATTATCGTAAGGAGACGACTCCCCCATTTAACATATGATTAATTAAAGGAGCGACACAAGCCCTAATGTCAGTTTAGTTTGTCAGGAATAGCTTCAGAAAAGGGGGGAAAAAAGCTTTCTGCAGGTTAAACCATTTCAAAGGTCCGTGTGACAGTTATAGCTCAATTTTCTTCCTGTAGGTGTCAGCTGATTGGCATAAAGAACATAATGCTGTAAAGGTCTGACATGAAAACATTGAAGTCGGAGAACAGTTAAAAAGGATAAAAAAAATTGGACCAAACAAAACAAACACAGTGCTCTCTGTGATGCATCATCTCTGTGGGTAATTGTTTTTCATACTACACGAGAATGAATGATGGTTTCTTCTAGAGGAAAACAAGTATCCAATCTGCACCACATCAACAACTTATTGGACATCCCCACCCAAAAGTGTTTTTCCTGTGTCAAACTCTTCCTTTTACCTTTCAGAGCAGAATACCAGCATACCATAGCACAGCGGTACCACCTCAGTCTAAGTCAAGCTCGTAACCCTCTCAGTGTTGTGTATTGTGGACAGGACCTGAAGCCCAGCAACATTGTGGTGAAGTCTGACTGCACACTGAAGATCCTGGACTTTGGCCTGGCCAGGACAGCAGCCACCGGCCTCCTCATGACGCCCTACGTGGTCACACGCTACTACCGCGCCCCTGAAGTCATCCTGGGCATGGGATACCAGGCCAATGGTGAGTGGAGGAAAAGCAGCTTCTAGACGGCGACCGGCCAATGAGGAGCTCTTAAGCTGCTGCCTGGCCTGCTGCATGGCCCAACCCCCCCCCCCGCCCCCTCCCCGGGATGTTTTTCGACAGCACCTCCCGCACACACACTCTCCCACACACACGCTCCCTGTTCCTGTAAAGGTCGCACTCAGGGGGGAAGTTGGCATGTTGGGCATTGGTGCTTTGTGGGAAACTTCCTGTCTGGGGACTCCAGTTCCCAGCAGTGCTTTAGCATGCGTTTGATGTTTTATTAAGAGGTTGCCTGTCCTGAGCTCCTTACAGCCTGGCTAAAAACGCCAGTATGAATACAGGCACTTGTGCATGCTTCAGCAGTTTCACTTGGTGCTCCTGCTTGGAACGTACCACAGTTTCTGCAAGACGGTCTTAAAGCAATAGTTCAACATTTTGGGAAATATGCTAATTTGCCATGTGTTGTATGGGAAGATTGATACGACTCTCATACCTGTCTGTTTGATATGAAGCTAGCGCCAGGAGATGCTTAGCTTAGCTTAGCATATAGATGGGTAGCAGGGAGAAACAGCTAGACCAACTCTGTTAAATATTATCAGATTATATCTCATTTGTTTAATTCGAGAATGTACAACATCTAAAGTGTAAAAAAGTTGAGGTTTTACAGGGGGTATTTGCTGGACTATTTCTTGGTGTGTGGCTCCAGGAAATATGATGGGTTAATTGGTGAGCTTTGGCGGTGCTGGTAGGCAGATCTTAATACAACTGGACAGAGCCAAGCTAGCTGTTTCCCTGTGTTTCCAGGCTATGCTAAGCTAAGCTACCTGTTTGGCTTCATATTTAGCATACAGACATGAGAGTGGTATCAGTCTATTACTCTGCTAGAAACAAGCACATTTCTCAAAATGTTAAAACATTGATAGATACGTGACTGGGGCTCCATTGGCCTAGCAGATAGTACTTTTATGTATAAAGTCAGATGCATAATGGCGAGAAAACAAATCTATATTACAAATCTATATATTTTGGGATATAAAATCTGTGCAAGCATCATGAGGTGGATACATAGCAATAATGCTCCCGTTAGAGCAGAATCTACTAATACTCCATCCTTAATCCTCTGGAACAAAAACTCTGACCCTAATTTTTTCCTGCTGACTTGTTGCATTTTTTTTGCTTATTCTCTTCTCCCTCCTTTTATGCTGCGCATATATAGTGGATATTTGGGCTGTGGGCTGCATTATGGCAGAAATGGTTCGCCACAAAATCCTTTTTCCAGGAAGGGATTGTATCCTTGAGCTGCTTGCAGCAGTGTCTGGCACTCCTTGTGAAACAAAACACAGCACACAAACGTCTTTTGTCTCTTCAAACCATTAGTTTCATCAAATGGATCGCACGGAGATCATATCCTGTGAGCACCTACAAAAATTCTATTTCTCTGATTTGCCTGACACCCTCCACTTGCAACCACCCACCTGCTCTTCCTACAGATTCACAAACTGACATGACTCCCTCCTCACTCACCTAAGCAGCAAAGCTGTTACTTCAAGCACGGCAGTCAGACGAAAAACCTGAAATAGAATTTAATGGTTTGCTCTTCCATAGCTCAGAATTAAACTGCAAAAAAAATCCCTCGTCCATCCTCACTCAGCTTCCCATGTGTTTTTGTAGACGCCGGAGCAGAAAAACATCCAGACAAAAAAGATGAATTGTTAGGTTTAGCTCCACAATATAATACTGAATAAATTGATGCTCCGCTACAGAAATATTTGTGAGACTCTGAATCTGCAATGTCGCACATGTGTGACAGAGAAAAGCTCCAAAATGATCATTTCTGGCCTCACAGATCAGAATATTCCAGTTGAACGCAAACAACATGAACTGTAGTGAGGATGCTGAGGGTGTTAACATGCATCTTTGCACAAAACATTTTCAGAAGACCTTGAAAGTCAGTGTCTCTCTTTTTCAAGCTTATAATTCACTATTCAGTGTTCCTGGAGCAGAAATGAGTCTATGATTAGTGACATTGCTGTTCTGTCAGAAATTTGCACCATATGTAGTTTGTGCTAGCCCAAAAACAAACAATAATCATTTCCCTTAACCCTGTGGGACGCTGACCCAGGTTTGCACTCAACTGCATGCAATTCATGTTTGTCATGTATCACACACATCACCTTGGCACCACATCGTGTTTTTTCCCTTTTGTTCTTTTGAGGGTTTTTTGTTGTTGTTGGGGTTGTTTTTCTGTTTGTTTTTCAGTCCTGCATGCTAATTTGGTGGTTGTCATTTCATTTTTCAGTTGATGTCTGGTCTGTTGGCTGCATCATGGCTGAAATGGTCCGGGGTAGTGTGTTGTTTCCAGGCACTGATCGTATCCTTAAGTTAAACCTCCATCCAAACCACCCAAAATGTCGTCCTGTCTCATCCTTTGTCTGACATCTTGTTCATATCTGCGCACACAGTGGGGGAAACCTGCAGAGCTACTGCGCCTCTTAAATGAGTGGTGACGTCATCGTATTCAGTGTTGCCATTCATTTCTTTCAGCGAAGAGGGATGACAGTTCCTCCTCCATAGCAGGTAAAGCACAGGTGTAATTAATAACGCTAATGGCTGACCCAGTGAGCAATACTAGTGCGCTAACGAGAACAATGCCAGAGTTAATTAAGTACACCTGTGGTTTTCCCGCTATGACAAGTAAAAACGGTCGGTTCAGTATTTTTTAACCTTGTCCTTGTACACGAGTGAACACAATGTGATAAACACTGTGCAGGTGCTTTATTTAGCAGTTGGAGCTGGTTTGCATGTTTTCTTGAAACCAGCGTTCTGCATAGAGGCTATATTTGGGTTTATTGTGAGTGTGAAGGTGTATCAGTATTTGGGAACATTTTTGGTGCCCTATTACTGATTTATATATTTACATTAAGAAGCTACATGAAGCTAATGGTTGTTTAAAACTGTAATATGCTAATGGTTGACTGTGGTTAGCTAAATTTAAATAATTTTAAATTGAAAATAGCTCTCAGTCGGATTATATCTTGTCTGATTGAAGCTAAGGAAGCAGAGACCAAATGATTTAGCTAATGGATATAGTCATAGTTAAATTCTATATTTAATTGTTAACCTGTATGTTACCATGTAATAATACTAATACTAATCAACTTGTCTTTGGAAGTAGGACTTATCTGACCTCTCCTAGCCTGATAATCAGAGTGAATCGCAATTTAGTTTCACTTCAGTATTGAGTCGGGTCCATGTATATATGTATATATGTATGAGGAGGGTTATTTTAACCTAACCTGCCACAGTAGCGTGTGACGCATCAGTCTCACTAATGTAATATTAAATTGAAAGTGAGGTAGCAATTGTTAGGAGCATTTAATGTTTTTCAGCCAGTTTGTGTCGGTCGACTCACTACAAATTATATAGCAGCGTTGATGTAAGCCTGGCTCTGGCACAAAAGATAATCCCTTCTTCAGAGCTATGATTTGCTCCATTGTTTGTCTGTTTTTTGGGAGGAATTGACTTGCGTTTGAATGAGTTTGGTCGATAATGTTAGTCAGAACCTTTTATATTCTTTGTGCCAGGATGGAAGTAAACCGTTTGGAATTTAGATTTTGTACACTTATTGATCTATAGTTTGTGCATTTGTCAAACTTATCTTTATCCAGGTTTTGGTATGACTGGCTAGACTTCCCCTCCTTGTTGTTCATTCAGTTTTAAGGATGAACAAAGATGTGAACAAGGTGTTTCTGTATGTGTCCTCCAGATAGCTCTATACATATTACATCTGTATGTATATGTGTGTTTGTTTTTGTCCTCAAGAAAAAGAGTTGCAAACATATTTCCAGCATCTGGACCACTTAAGGTGAGCGTCACCTGACTCACCTGACATGCAGTGTTTCCAAACTTCCAGATGTTTGAAATGAAATTATCTTTGCCACATAGTTCAAGGTGTATGTACCTGATTCAGTCCATCCTAAATGATTTAAATCTGTTATGACCTTTTCCTCAGAGGTAAACTACCAATATATGGTGTGCCTTTTTTCTACAACCCTCGTCCAGTAACAACATTTTCTTTTTCAGCACAATTGCAGTTACACAAGTATTTTAGGAACAAATCCAAAGCAGCACAATGCAGTACAAGACACTGAAACTCCAGATGGCTCTCAGTTCAAAATATTATCCAAAATGCTCCAGTCCGGCTCTGGAATGGCCGCTCCTTTTGTCCAAACCCAGCCTAGTGCTTTTCTTAATACTGTAACCTTAAGATATCGACCAGTGGAATAAGGTGATCGAACAGCTGGGCACGCCGTCTCAGGAGTTCCTGATGAAGCTCAACCAGTCGGTGAGGACCTACGTGGAGAACAGGCCACGGTATGCTGGCTACAGCTTCGAGAAGCTCTTCCCTGACGTCCTGTTTCCTGCAGACTCTGAACACAACAAACTGAAAGGTAAAGATGCTGTGGTCTCTCTTATACCCCCATCATGTGTAGCACTGGTGTGAGGTTGCAAATCTAGTGCAAAGAGTTAAAACCGTTTTGGTGTACAGTTCCTCTATTACAGGTGCAGCAATCGTCCAGCCTGAAGGGGAACCATTTTTAAAATTTAAATGGCTGATTTTAATCACAGGCCAGACATTGCAAGGAATAATGAGGCAATGATGAATTTTATGCCACAATGCTTCAGATTTATTGCTTGAAATTTGAACAAAAGACTTTTTAAAGCTGGTTCTTTTTTTGTAGTCTTTATCACGGGTGACTTTTTAAATGTCTATGATTGTAATTGAAGGATTATTTCTAATTAAATGTCCATGGTGGCTTGGAGAGTATGTGTCCAAGCACTTGCCAAGCAGAATTTTTCCCTCCATATAGCATCAGTTTTTGTTGCATTCTGTTTTTGCAGCCTTACAAACATTTGCTGACAGCAAAGCCCAAGTGGCAAATCACTTTTCAGTGGCTGCTTTAGATTAAGCACTTATTACGGAAGCTGACAGTTCAGGACCAAGTTGTTTACTGTGAAGGGGAATTTACCTCAAGCGCACTCATGTGTAAATGTAGAGAGGATGACAGGAACACTCACAGCTAGCGCTGTAGAGCTGTTGCAACATGTCGCGAGAAAAAAAGGAGCTCATCTTTTTCTGTCCTCATTAATTTACAGAAGCAGAAATATGTGACAACAGTGTAGTCCCCTGAAGAACTCCTGTTATACTGCAAGATTCCACAGAGCACTTTTAAATAAGCTCATGTTAATTTCCAGAAAACTGCATCTTCTGAATGACATCATCCTGTGACAGCATTCATTATTGCTCCTCCAGATATGTTTCCTGACATATAAAAATACTCTAGAATAAATATTTGTTTGTGATGTTTGTTTTTTAACCTAAAATCCTTAAAATGACATCTGCTCCTTGTCCCTCCATTTAAAAAAAAAATCAAAAATCTATGAGCATGTGCAGTGGGGGTTTCAAGTTTTCACAATAAACTAAGCTGTAGAGCTGCAACAATTAATTGAAAAACTAACTGTTTTGTGTAATTTTTTTAAAATAAAACATGTCCACATTTTCTGATTTCAGCTTATCACATGTGAATATTTTCTGGTTTCTTTTGTCCTCTGTGACAGTAAACTGAATATCTTCGGGTTGTGAACAAAACAAGAGATTTGAGAACATTTTGTAGACCTAAATAAATAATTGATTAATTGAGAATCTGATTGACAGATAAAGAAAATAATTGTTAGCTGCAGCCCTACTAAGTTACACGCCGGACCATGATTGGAAATATTCTTGAAGTCACAAAATCCTGCTGGTAAAAGCACTTAAAGTGAACGCAGAGAAACGTTAAAACATCCTTCTAGTGTCAAACTCTGCGCACGAGTAAAGCTCAAACATTATAGTAACAATAATCAAAACCTTTTTGAATGGAGGGGGAACTTAACACTTGGATGGTCCCTCCCCACATTGTCCTGCTCCAACACAACAAGTTGAATTATTGTTTTACTATTTATTTTCTAATTTTCTACAATTTCTTTTCAGCGAGCCAAGCCCGAGACCTACTATCTAAGATGCTGGTAATAGACGCGTCAAAGCGGATCTCAGTGGACGAGGCTCTCCAGCACCCTTACATCAACGTGTGGTACGACCCTACTGAAGTGGAGGCAGTAAGTACTCTATAATTAATTACATTCTAAAGCTAATTAATAGCTCTGTTTAATGCCCCTGAATACTTGGTTTTAAAATATTCTTCTATAATAAGCAACACTAACGCTTGAAAAATACAAAACATCCTTTTTTTGTTGGGCTGTGCTGTGGTAAAGGAGCATTCTCTTGAAAATTGGGTAAATTTAAGAAAAACACACAAATAATATTCACATGTATTCTATGATTTCTAAGCACATGCACACAAGTAAAATCAGTACAAAGATAATTGTGCACAGCTGCTAAATCTCCTTTTAAGATATTAAAAGAATCCACTTATTAGAAAGAAAACCTCCTGTCTCGGTAACAGGTCTACAAACTATAGAACTCAATCTCCCCTTCTCTCTGAAAATGTTTGTGCTCTGCATGTAAAAGTCTGTGTGTGGTGACACAACGTTACTCTCCTTGGAGACAGAATGACTCATCCAGTGCAAATTGATTTTGCCTGTGATCAGGCGAATTGGGAGATGAGGTGAGTTATTGCTTTCTCCCCTCTCCTCTGGAATGAAATCACTCTTCAGAACAGCACAGCCTTGAGGAGTGCAGATTTGTACACAGATTTTGCTCTGACACTTCATAAACGCATCAGATCTCTGTTTGACTGGCTCTGAGGTAGTTTATTCCAGCATTTGTGCTATAAATTAGATTTCAGAAGTTTGTGGTATTTTCTGGACGTTTGTGCGTGCCAAAGCAGAAAAAAACCTGCATTAAGTGGGTTTAATGTGAGGAAGGTTAAATGCAGCATTTTTCTATCTTGTGCTGTCAATTAGCTGAGTCTATAGGTTTTCAGTTTGAGCTGGGAGCTACTGCAGCTGAGTTTTACCCCCCTCTAGTTTGAGTTTTGCTCATCCTTCACCTGCTGTTGTAGTTGGAATGAAAACCTCAGGTCTGCTAGTTAGACAGACTAAATTGTCAGCCATATCAGTAAGTTTGTGAGACAGTAGGTTGGCCTAGTGGTTAGTGTCCTACAGCTTTAATCTCATGAGTTTGATCCCCATTAATGGTCCATAAACAAACAGTCTTACGACAACTAACCTTTGCTTGCTTGTAAAAGTATAGGTCAGTGTATAACATACAAGTAAAATCTATTCTCTGGAAGAATGCTGTATAGTCCTTTTTCTAATGGTTTTGGATGTTCACTGTGCTGTTTAAGTCTACAAATCATTTACGTGTGATGTGTGTCGACTTTGCTCTGTGTTTAGTGAAATATAGAAAACGTGTCTGTCTGTTTTCAGCCACCACCCGTGATCACAGACAAGCAGCTGGATGAGAGAGAGCACACAGTGGAAGAGTGGAAAGGTAGGAAAGATCCTCTTTTTTCTCCTCTTCTCTCTCTCCTCTTTGATAAGCTGACATAAGTACTTAGCTTTTTGCAGTGTGTTGCATAAGGTTGGTCTGTGTTCGTGCTTTGCAGCCTGTGGGACATTTTCATCTTCATTCTCAAACTGATATACATGTTTTCCTCTGCATAGTCTGAATTCGTGAATGCACTAATGTTTTCCCATTTTGTTATTTTATTTTGGAAATAACTGATGCATGTTAATTACATGTCCTCTTGGTTTCCTATTTTCACTGCCTAAACGTAAAATCTGTATCATTCTGTGGTATTTTCATATAATTACAATAGATTGTTACTCTGAAAATCTAATGCCTCTATTTAATCACAAAGTCATACGTCAATTAAAGGAAAGGTCAGAATTGTAGATCATTATAGACAAATTGCCGATGGTGTACATGGACAAGGATAATTAATGGAATTTTGGGTCCAAATAAACATTTCTTTTTAAGCTGCAGGAAGTTTTGACTTTGACTTTAACACTTGACATCTCTGACATAAACAGACTTAAGACTACTATTGACTGTTACATGGTTTCATTGGAACATTGAGCAGAGTATCATCAGCATAGAACTGCATAGCCGAGAAATGTATGTTTTGTTTACAAATTACTTAAATGCAACATGTAAATGGAAGTGGGCAGTGATTGACCCCTTGGAAACGCCAGAGGATTGTGAGGGGGCAAAGAAGAAGAGGTGCCTTCCTGTAAGGTGTTGCTCCATTTAAACATCTTCCTCCTCCTCAGTGCTGACAGAGTGATAATGACAGCAGGAGATTTTCACCTAGAGTGTGACTTCTTGGTGTTCCCTGATTACACACACACAAACACTGCCGGAGGATATTTCATTACATCTTTCTCCCCTTAGAAAAAAAATCCCATGTACCTTTAATTACATTACATTCATTTATTTCACTAGTGGCTCCAGATCACACAGTTATGGAAAATGACTGAAGAATAAAATGGCAATGAGTTAAAAATTCCGAAAACCTACATGGTGACATTAGTGAACTGCATACAGCTTGCTAATGTTTAGCTAAATGGTCACTGTGGGATGCTTTTGCCTCCCTCTCTGCTTTTTCTGTATTAAATGATGGCTTCTTTTTTGTTGCAGAGTTGATATATAAAGAAGTGTTGGACTGGGAAGAAAGGACAAAGAATGGCGTCATCAGGGGACAGCCAGCGTCCATAGGTTAGTGGAGTTACTTGTGTGTCTGAGTGTGCGTGAGAGAGATTGCATGTTTAAGAGAGCTTGTACCTCTTAAAATGTTTGGTACCTCTTAACCGTCTAAATAATCCAAATTGTGATTACTGTACAGCACACCTGTGCCCACAAACTGTCTAAAGTGAACTGCTACAATTCTGCATTTGACGTAGTTGTTTCTGTAACGGACAAAAGTGTTTTCCATTCTTGAGCTTCATCTTGTACTTAATTTCTGTAATTCCTCTAATGGAAGCATCTGTAGGTGGGTGACAGAATTATCACACTAATTTGTCTAGTTAGACGCTTACTACATATTGTGTTATGACCCTGCTTAGATTTGGCTTAAGTGGCACAGGATTATTAAGCAGAATAATAATTGTAGTAAAGTAGTAGTAGTGGTGACTGTCCACTGCAGTGCATTTATCCAGCATGTAATATGGCATTAGTACTGCTCTTTTTAAATGTTATACATAATATATATTTCTCTGATCAATGCGACAGCCAAACCAGTCCTCTGTGCCTCTGACCTTTTTCATTGTTCTGAATTTATTACTTTTTTTCTGTTGTGTAAAAACATTTCCAGAAGCTGTTAGCAAATTTATTATAAGGTTTTATTTTAAGAAAGACATCCATATTTAAACATGAAAGAGTATCGATATTTAATACAGTTCCTCCTGTATTCATGAATAAGCAACTTAAAGGTCCAGTGTGTAACATTTGTCTTTGTTTTTAAACACCTATAAGTCTTACTTTGCAACTTATTATGTTTTAATGTTACTGTGATGGTATATATGATAATTTAGCACTTGAGTTGGCTTAAATAGAAAGTGAAAGAGACTTGATTAACTTAACCACAGTTACACAAAAGTGCTTCAGCAGCAGCTGCTGCATGTTCACTATTGATGGCTGACCACAGGCCTGTTCCTGTTCCTCATAGCACAGGTGCAGCAGTGAGCAGCAGCCCGCAGCAGCACCACCAGCACCACACCTCCACGTCCTCCTCCGCCGACGTCTCCTCCATGTCCACTGACCCGACCCTGACCGACACCGACAGCAGCCTGGAGACGGCCAGCGCCGCCGCTGTCCCCGCCGCCGCCGCTGCTACAGCCAACGCTCCGCTGGGCTGCTGCAGATGACTATCATCTACACCCCCTCCCGGTCCTGGGCTGGGCCTCATCCCTGGTCACATCCAAGACCACTAGCCCGACACTGGCTCCTGGCCCCAACCCCTTGCATTTTCCTCCCCCACCTCCTCTCTGTGCTTGTCTTCAGTAGTGTAGCGATTAGCCAGCTAGCTGTTTGAAAAATATTTTGATTTCTGAAAGGACAAAACTTTTTTTTTCTTTTTTATTACAGTTATAGTCTTTTTTTTTAAATTAGGATTTCTTTTTGTTTGAGTCCTAGCTGTAATTTATTGTGGCATTTGTTAATTTTTCAGAAACCTAAGATGATGATAAGAGAATTTTTATGATTTCACTATGTTGCGGTTTGTATTAACCGACAGTGAGAATTTAAAGAAATATCTGTAAAATGTTTTAATGTGATCTATTTTTCTGTTGAAAGTCATTTGTTTCACTTGTAAGCTACTGCTTTTACAACTTGCCATATAAATGTAGATTGAGTTTGTACAGATTTTACTGTAGATGTAGTTTTATCTTCAATACAAGTTTGCAGTGAGCCATTGAAACATAATTGAATTGACAAACGTATGGTCTTAGTACTCCTCTTATCTGTTTTATCTCATATAATATGGATACTGTTTTAAATGCATATGACATATCCATTTATTTGAACTGAGATCATGTAGATTTACTTGTACATTTTTTTTTCTTGTGAGTCACTACTTCCTACATTGTAAAATTCTAATGAAAGCTTTATAATTTCCTCATTCTTCACTTCCTGTTCAGACACGATAGGATTTCAAAACAATTGTCACTCACCATGTTATCCTATTTACCGTCATACATTTAAGTTATGGGATTGATAATGGCACAGTTTGGTCCCGCAAGATAACTTGGAGCTTTTTTGATGTCTTCTGTATTTTTAAGTGCTTTAAAGTACCTCTTCCTCTTGTCTGCAACGGGCTGTGTGACATTATGGAACTGGCGTGTGGTGGTTTTGCTTTGGAGGACTGGATGCACGGAGCTCTTTCACGTTCTCCACTGGCTTGCTTCGACAGTTCAGGACTTGAGATTGTTTTGGGGGTTTTTTGCCGTGCTTTGGGAGGTTTTTGGAGATGTGTAGTTGTGTGAGGTTGTACAAACGGTGACGGTGTCAGTAGAATGTGCTTCAGTCAAGTAGGGAATTTTGATATTGAGAACGCATGTGAACGTGTTGATATTCGGTGTTTTGAGGGGATAGTGATTCTGCAGCCTGATGGAACAGTGTGAAAAGATGTCTTGCTTCCTACTAACCAGATCCTGTTATTAGTAATGTACTTTTGTCAATTTGGACATTTGAAAGGGATTTTTCTAAAAGTTGGCCAAACACTTTGTGCACCAGACTTGCCTGCAATTTTGAATAAAAGTAGAAGAACCTAAAACATAGCATGTTAAACCGCAGCACAAACAACCAGAGTCAAAAGAAACAAATTATTCTTATGGTATGCAATAATAGTGCCCTTTTTTTGAGTGTTTTTGATTTTGCTTTGAAAGGAAAAGTGCCTGTTGTTTGTCATTCATTCCTGGGAGGAAGTGTGTTCATTATGTGTAGGTTTTTATGGCGTCTGGATAACAACAGTAGTTTCCATATCAAACCAATAACGTATGATGGGGTTGTAGTTCTCACAAATGTGTCGTATATTTTTCTACTTGTTTTGATTTTGACCCTTGAGTGGGAGACTGTGGTGTCTTGCAGGGTAAGAAGGTGATGACGTATACGTTGAGATGCTTAACCGTGTGTTTGAGTCATTTCAGAAGAAAAGGCAGGTTTATCAAGGTCTTTCATCAAAGTAAAAAAGAAGTCGTTCTTTGCAGTGACAGCAACCGAAATATAGGTTAATAACAGTTTTTTGGCTTTTCTTTGAATACTAATTTAATGTGATGATTCTAAGAGTGAACAAGATAGACATGTTGTAAAATTAAACTACTGGATCAAACTAAATGAGCGAACTCTGCGACTGCATTATTGTCAGTATTTTGTGGTGGTTTGGGATATTTACAGATCGATGTTTTAGTTATGAAGACATATCTGTAAGGCAGAGCCAAATTATTCAACACTCGTGCTACTAACTGGAAAAATACTCTAATCATAGTTACTCAAGTTTAAACATGCCGTAATAGCTTAAAGCTATTTAGGCAAGTTGTGTAATGGTTTCTTGACATCATGAATATCTGTCTTAAATCAATGAAACAAGTGCTATTTTCAGTTAAAATGATGTTGAGGTTTCATGCAGCCATTCTGCCTGCTAGAAATGTTTGCATAACTAAACTTCCTATCTGCAAGAGGCAGAGTTGGGATGTATTGTGCTGTCATGGATCACGAGCAGGTGTTGTGGATGTTGACAGCAGAGGCATAAACATTACTGTCTGTCTAAGAACCTGTCTTGGTCTTCGATATAGACATTTTTCTAGGAGGCTCAAAGAAAAGTTGCAAGAAAGTTTGTCTTTAGACTGTATCGTATGCTACTGTAGCTCTGTGCTGTGCTCTGCTTTAGCAAATTGTCGTTGTCTGCCAAATATGTAAGGCTAAACATGGACGTAACCGATTATTTAATGGTTGTGCCTCCTCCCTTGCAAGTTCTGGACTTGCACCAGCTATTCGTAAATCCATTACTAAGTGTGTGTGTGTCCTGCCTACGTTCTCAGTTACAACTAGCTAGTTTCTAACTATTGATTTAGTAAATTGGGTTGCACCATTAAAATGCAAGGAATGACTTAGCCAGTAAAAACTATAATTATTATTATTAAATTGGAAATAATCTGTAGCACTGTAAGATCAAAATCTCCAAAACTGTGTAAAATGGACGTTACTGTAGCAACACTGTAACCGCTTTAGTCGGCCAAACGATATATTGAAGTTAAAATCCGGTCCTTGTGAATGTAGATATGATTATGTTTATTTATATATGCATAAATAGAGAAGTGTGTGTTAGTGTAGTATAAATAGTGTAGAATAAGTGAGAAATATCTCATTCCGCTATTACACTCAGTTTTATTTGGACTTTATTCTAACATTATTGACATAACGTTTTGTACTTTCTGTTATTTCTGTGGAATTTGTTTTAAAATGATCAACTTCTTCTAAACAGCATTTTATGAAGCGTATGTCAGAGCATCAACTATAACACATTACCTCTTTTACTCCACACTTTAAACGGGTAATAGATTAGCAGACTTTAGCTTTGTCACCGAGCTTAACGGTTAACGTATAATACATTAACAAGAAATTGTTAGCTGCGTCATTGAGTTACAGGACAGTCAACATTTGATGTATTAGCAAGTTAATGTTAGCTTTGCTAGTTAGCAGCACAACTGGTGACATTTAATATATTAGCACGCTAATGTTAGCTTTGTCAGTTAGCTATGCAGCAGTTAAACATTTACTGGGTGTAAATATTTAGGACTAGCTAATCTGTGTACGAACGGGTTTATGTGGTGCAACCCATTTTAATTTCGTGATGTGTTAATCTCAACTTCGTAAACACTTCCGTTCTAACTAAGTTTGAACTTACGAACAGCTGGTGCCACTGGCTCCTGCTCTCTTTTTGGGCAATTTAAAGGAAAGATTTGTGAATTATTGAGCAACAAGTTGGTTTGTGAGGTGCAGTGGCAGCAATGGAGAGCCAGATTAGTACAAGACTAAAGTCAGTCTGCTGTCAGTTATTTTAGATTCCTACAGCAAAATTAATGTCCAGTGGTAAATGTGCAGTAGCATTTCGACAAACAAGTAAAAACTAGGACTTAAGCAGTGTCACATTTATAAGAAGGGAGTTTGTGGTGTGTATCCATTTGTCATATTAGCCCATTTGTCGTATTAGCTAAAATAATCCATCAGAAAAAAAACACATTGTTGTCTAAAGTGCTCTTAATTTTCTTAACCCAACATTAGGGGCTTTAATTTGAGTATTTTGTTGTTGTTTTTTTCTTCTTCTTAGGTTGTTGTTGCTTTTTTTTTTATATATAATTACTGCATCTCTCCAAACAATGTCATTCTGATTTAAGTCGGCTTTGATGAACTACCTCACGCTGAATTTCTGCCAGTTCTTGCATATACTTAGTCGCCTGCAGAATTAGCTATCGAAGACGTGTGAATAACAGATTCCATTATTTATTTATTTGAAAGTGTACTATTTGTTGGTTTCAACAGACTTCTAGTTTTGTACATTATGTATACTTCACCTAGAAGTAAGAGAATTGTTATATGTATTTTTTGTTCTTTTTTGTTTGTTTGTTTTTAAACTAAATGTGCAATACCTTCAGCAAACTGTGCTAGTAGTATGTGATGGGCCTAGCCCTTGTTAGCTGTCTCCTGAAGGTAAAGAAAATGTTTGGTACTGTCAATCCATGTTTTCCTTTTTTATGAATAAGATCAATTTTTATTTCTGTGACTTGTTTATAGTCATGATGTTACGTAATCAGCCTTACCCACCAAACAAATCTGTCGGCCAAGGTTTGATGCAGAGACGGGAAGTTCTTTGAGTCACAACGTGGCCAACAGATTTTGATTTAGAATGTGGTAAGGACAATAATGTTAATAAACACAAAAAAGATAAGTAAATACCTACAAGAAATCATTATATGTATGGTGCTGGTTTGTAATGTTTGCTAGTGAATCCAGCCATGCAAGTAGTTTTAAGAATTCCTGGATCTGCGCGTCCCAAAAACCGCAACCAACGAAGAAGTGCACTACTAGAATACATGCACTGGGATCTGATGATGCCACCTCTTTAAAAAAAACAATAAAAAAAATATGTACTGCAAATAAAAGAAATACACTTTGACCTATTGTTTTCTGTCTTTTTTCCTGTCGTACTAAGTCGCAAAACATTTGTTGCTTTGCATACTACGTAATACAGTAAAGTTGCTGATTCATTAACTTAAAGGCTCTATTCAAAAACATGGGACATATTGTACTTGTTACATGTTCCTTAATTACAATTGTGCATGTGCATTGTAGTTTAGCACCAAATGTATAATAGTCCGCAGCTGAAAATAGTCCCTAACACAAGCATTTACTCCTGTTGGAGTAACCTTTAGTAAAACCAACAGTGCCCAGCTGTATCAAGAAATCACTCAGTCTTTCTTAAAAAAATGTAATGGTATATTTATGACCTGGTTTTAATTATTTATGCCTTCAGAAAGAACAAATGTGTTTGGGGGCTGAGTGCCAGAGACAAGGCAGGGAAACTGGTGGCCGGGTGGCCTGAATGCAAATAACTTGGTAAATACAAATGTACACATTTCCAGATGAAACCACTAACCATTTAACAATGTATTGTGAGGTATTTTGGGCTGTATTGGCAGTGTCTTTGGATCAGATTTACTTACTCCAAGAACTCATCACTAATGTCTCACAGATTATCACCTTTATTCCCATACATGTCCATTCATTTACATTAGTGGAAATCCATAATAAATAAGCACCATAGATGATCAGCAGAGCAATAAGAAACATTTAGCCTTAGTCATGACACACATAAAAGGAAATAAATGTGTCTGTTGGAATCAAAGAACCTGCAATAGATTTAACTGTGATAGTGGTAGTTCACGAGTAAAGTCAAAAAAGCTTTAAAGGACAATTACCTTGTAAACCTGTGCAATTAAAGAGTGTGTAATAACATTGGCTTTATGTTGTCTTTATAAAATATAAAAAGGAAAAATACAGTCACATTGTCTAACCCAAAGCGCACATTCACATGTAATTATACTGTTTGTCGGGCCCTTCAAGAAACAAGTGTCATTTAAACCACTTATGGACTTTCTTCTGATTGGTGATAAGATGAAAAAAAAAAAAAATAAAATTCAACAATGTAACCACATGCAATTCTCACAAAGGAGACATCTGCAACTCTTCATTTTGGAAACATAAAATTTAGTGTTAACAATTCAATGAACCAGATCAATAAAGCACATCACAGCTTCCTGATGTGATGTAAGTCTGCATCCCATAATACAGCACATGTCCAGCATTACCAGGAGTCAAAGTAAGGATAATGACTTGCAGAACTGGATGATCTGAACATCATCAGTGATTTTTTTTTCCCCCCTCTGGTAGTCGTTTTTTCATCGGGCTGGTTTCATCAACTACACATTACATTCACTACAAGGATACATTCTTAATTCAAAACTTCCATTCAGTTCACAATTCACTTACACAAGAATTGGCACCTTCTAGGGAGATCAAGTTACTCATCTTCAGCAGTTTGTTGCCATAAAAAAACAAAAAACAAACAAACATACATTGCAGCCACTGTGTGTACTATGCACGAATATATGCACTACATCTCTGGACAAGCAAGCAACACTAAATTTTTCCTATTCAAAAGCACTTCCCTGAAGGCACAACCAGGAAATTCCATTGTTTCTTTGAGGGCAGTGTTCAGCTTCATGTGCCAAAATCAACATGGCTTCCAGGCAGGCCATTCTGATCTTTAGTGAGCGAACAGCTGAGGCGGTCCAGCTTTGGTATTTACTGTAAATGGCCTTCACCTACTGAGCCATGTGGTCTGTGTCCAAGGCAGCATGCGCTAAATTGAAAATGCTTGAATTATTGTTTTCATTGTCCCTGTTGAAGTATCTGTACATTAAAGGTATACTGACATCTGTGAGGATCGGATTGAACCGAAGACTGAGGCTTTGCCATCAAATGGAAACCATGTAGATGGTGAGAGGCACTGGAAGGGCCTGAGGACAAAGAAAGTACAGAGGCAGCTACTGCAGAGGTTCCACCTATCACTGGAAAATCTAGTTTTCTAAACCGGCTTTTGTGTTACAAATTTGATTCTACAGTAAAATATCCAGAAAGAAATGTCTGCAGTACAGAGGATGATAAATGCAAGTTAGAGGACCATCTGCTAAAGCTACCACTGTACAGTTTAAGGTCAGTTCAATCAGATTATAAAAAACGTGTTTTCTCAGCTCCCCCTAGTGGTGTCTAACATGCAAATCATTTTGGTTTCATTTGCACAGGTTTTGAGATATCCGTCTATGAGATTTTGGCCCTTCAAACTGATATGAATTTTGTTTCTATTGCTCACAGCATTAAAAACTACATTTTAAAAAAACTTACTTTATTCAGAGAGTAAACCTTGCTCTGCATAATTTACAGAACTCCTTTGCAACTTCAAAACCTGGCCTTTGCATAGCTAGCTACCACTACAGGCAAGTGAGGAAATATGTTTGGTTTAATTTCATTGAACTGGCCCTACAGTTAAAGGAACATTTGGACATTTTGGGAAATAGTTTTTAGCTTTCTTCCTGAGAGTTAGATGAGAAGATTGACACCACTCTCATGTCGGATAAATATAAAGCTACAGGAAGCTGCCAGTTAGCCTAGCTTAACATAAAGACAGGAAACAGTGGGAAGAGTTAGCCTAGTGCTGCCCTGCTAAATAAAGAGCTAGAGCCAGGAGCCGGTTAGCTTAGACTCGCTTGTTGATTTTCCAATTTGTTTTTATAAGAATTACACAAACAAGATTTAGCATTAGTTAGGTTTAGAGGTGTTGATAAGGAGATTTATTTTTAATTTTGGACAGAACTATGCTAGCTCTTTCCCCCGTTTTTTGTCTTTATGTTAAGTATGTAAAGACTAACCGGCATCTTCCCGTTTCTTCATGTCCTACAGACATCAGAGTGACATCAAACTTGTCATCTAACTCTTGGAAAGAAATCAAATAAGTGTATTTCCAAAAATGTAGCATTATTCCTTAAAGATAAAGATCAGATAGAGAGAATATCAGTCAGCTGTCTGCATTCAACGTTAATGTCTCCAACGAATCTTTCCGCTTCAGCAAGAAATCCATTCTTGAATATCCTTTTGACATAGTGGTTGAAGAAGTCAGCGCTCTCCAGTATAGAGAACGCCAGAGAATCAGGTTCCACCAGTCACATACTGGCACCTGAACTGTTAAAGTACTGCCTTCCCAAGACAAACCCTGGACTCATCAAGGAGTGTAATCACAAGAGCACCATCTTATCGTAACGTTCCATTTCAAGCATGCGTAAGAAAGTCAAAACCGCTCAGTGCTCAATGTAGACGGAGACACAGTCTGTCCCCATTTGATATTTTCATCCTTCAGAATATTCTTCCTCATATTTCATTTTCCTTCGTCCCGAATGTACACAAATATGGCCGGTTCTCTTATTTTTTTGTTTTACTCTTTTTTTGAAGGAACGCCCTGATGCACCAACGAGGACATGAGCCCTTGTAACACCCTACCCCAAAATACAAACCCTGACAGTTTTGGCCACAGACAGATGAGTGCTGTATCAAATGTCACTAGTCCTTGCACCCAGGGCCAGATCTCCCAGTGTGGAAAAGAAATCCTCCATTTCTTTCTCCAGGAGCCGGTTGCGGTTCTCCGCATCCTCCCGTGCCCGCTCTGAGTTTCGTAGTTTGATCTCCAGCATTCGTTGCTTCTTCCTTTCCTGCTCCATCTCTTGTTCCAGACGTTCCATCTGTGCACACAGAGCAGCACTGGACTCCTCCAGCCTGGGTGGAGGCAGCACAACACAGACAGAAAGCAAAGGTCATTGACGTTCACCTTTAACATTTGGTTACATCATGAAATGTTTTGGTGGGGTGGTTTAGAAATGCAAACAGCTGGTTCACACAAAATATAAAAAGAAAAAAACTGACAAAATCTCTTTATTATTCTGAGGTTTGTACATTAACAAAGGGTGGATATCTGAGCAAACAAAGAGCTATTCCTCGTACAGAAGTCTATTGATAAAGTTTAATTTTACTACTAGACCATGAGCACCAAAAGAAAATCTACACACATATGACAAAGTTTAGAAACCCCTCAGAACACAAACTTACTTTTGGATCCTGGTCTCGTATGAAGTCTTCTGCTTCCTCAACTCGTCCTTCAGTCCTTCCACCAGACCACTCAGTGTTAGATTTGTCCCATCTCCATCCTCGGACATGATAATGGACGGCACCCCGGCTGCCACAGCCATGTTTCCATTCTCACTGCAGGCTGCGCTGCTGCTGCACAGCTCCATGGCCTCGCAACTGTCCTGCTCAGAGCTCGGGTCTGTCGTCATCCCTCCATCCCTTCCTCTGTCAATGTCCCTCTGGCTCTCCATCCACTCCCCTTTCTCCCCACTCTCAACCCCTACTCCACAGTTCTGGTTCGCTGAGGGCTCACTTCCCGAGTCAGGGACGGAAATTTCGCAGGAGGAAGTGGACCAAGGTGTGCTGGCCACACTTGGAACGCTCCCCATGCTGGAGGAAGAGGTGACGTTGTCGTAGGTGGACAGTCTCTGCGAGGAGCCGGTGGAGTCGCGATCACGGGCAGACCGCTCGCCTGATGACGTACGCCGGTGTCCCCTCAAGGAGGACAGACCATTCATGAGCCAGTTACCTCCACCTCCACTTCCGCCTCCACCTCCTCCCCCACCGGAGGAAGATACACTAGTGACATCAGCCACAGAACTACCGCTGCTGCTTTGCTTGGCTTGCGTCTGGGAACGAGGCGCCGAGGAGCTTTTGAAAGAGTATTTCCACGAAGGTATGGTCTTGGCCTGTTTACTCGGGCTGACCAACGTCTCTCCTTTCCCTGATGGAGACCCCAGTTTTGGTCCAGGGTTCAGGTTTGGGGTCTGGGTGGGAGTGACAGCTGCACACAGTTTGGCATCCAGAGATGAGGCACTGCTGTGCAGTTCTTGGTCGGGGTTGGAGACTGGGCAGCTCTGGAGGTCTTCCTCTGAGATCCAGGCTCCCAGGCTGCGATGCTGGAGCTGATGCCCCTGGACAGGGAGCTCTGTTTGGGGTACG